GAGGCTAAGTAAAAGAAGAAAAAGGTTATAGCTAAAGATTATAAGTTTTACTTACTCCTTTAGTTTAATCAGCCGTATATTTACTATAATACTCTAAATAGCTTTATATAATATTACCTCTTAAAGCCTATTATAGATATTTTTTATACTCTTATAAAGCTTATAGACCAGTTTAATAAGGTTATCTTAATTATATAAGAAGGCTTATTAATAAGTATTAGCTATATTAATCTAATTATTTAATTGAAGGTCTCTATAAAAGGCAATTATTATAATCGTTTTTTATATTATTTATTAATTAGCTAGTTATTAATTAGTTAATTAATTAGTTATAGTTAAACCTCCTCTTACGAGGATAATAAAAGTATAATCCTTTAAGATTTATATTTCTTTAAGTAATTAAGAATCGCAAAGATAATTAGAAGGTTAATAATAGAGGGGAGAGCTATTATAGGAAGAGGATTTTAACCTCTTTAGCTAATTAAGATATAATCTACTTATTGCGAATAGAGCTATTATTAAAGGCATTAATAATTATATAGATAAACCTTATTAATTTAAGCCTATTAAGCTTAGGCTTTAGGTATAGAGCCTTTATTATTAAACCTATTGAGATTTTAACTAAGATATTTTAATCCCCTTTTTAGGTAGAATAAAGTCTAATAATAATTAATCTTATCTTTATCTAAGGTAATACCTTTTTCTTTTATTTCCTTAATAAGGATTTTAAATAATTTTAATTAATTATTTTTATAAGCCTAGAAAAAAGTATACTTAGTAATTTTTATTATTATCTCTCTTATATTAATAAGATCTTAGCTCTTAAGTTCTTATAACCCTTAGGTATACTTATTTATTACCTTAAGACCTAATTATATATAACTAAGAGCCTTTTTAACCTTATAATTATTAAGATATATACTAATATACTTATTAAATATATTATAAGCTCTTAAATTAATCTCTTATAATTTACTATTAATAAGGCCCTTATAGCTTTTATCTAAGATAAAACCCTAGATATAAAAGCCTTAGCTCTTAATTATTTATCTCTTTTTTATTATTATTATAAGAATTTTTATATTTATATTAATTTTATAAATAATTTAAAGAAATATCTTAATTAAATTAAATTATTTTAAAATTATTATTTAAATTCTCTTAAGCTAAGGATATTAATTTAGCTAAGCTTATTATATTAATATTATTTATAATTAATATTAAGGCTATTATTAAGATATATAAGAAAGCTTAATATTTACCTTTAGTTATTATACTTAAAGCCTTAATTATTAATAGCTTCTAAGGCTAAGATAATAATAATATTATTATTATTATAGGTATAGCTTACCTCTTCTTAAGCCTAGGCTTTATAAGAGATTTTTTATTAAAGAAATAAAATATATTAAACTATATAGCTAAAAAAGAAAAATTATTATATAATTTCTTTTAAATCTTTTTAAAAGAGAAATCTTATATATTTTCTTATAAAATAAATATAAAATAAAATAATAAAAATAATTAATTAATAAATAGTAATAAAAATATAATTCTTAAAAGAGCCTAAAAGTCCTCTAATTAAGGCCTAAGAAAGTAATAATAAAAGTAAGGCTTTATAGCCTTTATCTCTTTTTTTATATATAAGAAATTACTTAATAGCCTAAAGTAGCTTAATATGCCTTTGCCCTAACTTAATATATAATGCCTTAATATTATATTAATAAGGTAGTAAGCTAGTTTTATTATTATTAGTAATATTAATATTACTAGGCAGCTTATTAGAGATAAAGGCAAGAGGAGGATTAGGGTTAGGATTAAGGGTAATAATAGCTATAAGTTACTAATTTATATAAGCTATATAGGGAGGTTATGTATACTAAGGCGAAGGCGTTGCGTAATCTTTATATTGCGCTATAAAAGGCTAGTTATATTAGGGTTATAAAGAGAGAGGTTAAGGAGGCTAAACAGTAGTTAATTATTAGTTAGAACGTGGGTTATCTAGCTAGCTAAAACTAGTTATTAGGCTAGCTAAAGACTTTTATTAAAAGAAATAAAATAACTTTAGTATAATAAAGTTAGTTAATATACTCTATTCTAGTTCCTTAATTATCTATTCTAGATTAATAATAAAGAGATAAAATTTAATTATATAACTAATTTATTATTTTAGGTATACTTTTATATTAAGAGTTTCAAGATTTAACTAGTAAGGTCGCGTCAAACGTTACTCTAATTATAATATTTAAAGCTATTGCCAATTGAACCTGATCGTGCATCTGAGTGGCACGCATTTACAGTCTGTGTCGCGCTGTTTTCTTAGACCCATGAACCACTTTTACTCACTGTGCTCAATGTGATACTATTTGCAACCTTAAACCCCATATCAATTCGGCCCCCGTGCTAGAGACCATCAACCAACACTAGATGAGGTCCACTGGAATGTACTTTTTCCAGTCACCCTTGACCTTGAGGAAATCCAAAGGTTCCATGTGCTCCACGGCTCCTCCATAAGGACGGCTAACAGAGTAACCAAGAAACCTCTGCACCTCAGTAGGATACTTTTCTGCCACCTCCCACGGAACAGCAAGGTACTGGTTCTCTTCCTGACGGCGATAGCCAGGCGTGGAGAATGAGCTGAGCACAACGCTTGTCTTGTCTGTTCTATTGGGCGCCTGTCCGTAGTAGACTGACCCCAAGCTAACGATAACCCAGTCAGCTTCCTTGCCTGGCAGGAGTAATAGGGAGGTTACAAGGGATTTTACTTACCATATGATGGCATCGCCCTTTCGAAGCTCCACCAGAGTCTCGTCTTCCGGGAGAGGATCGCGATCGTTAGTCCAGTGGTTTGAGCCTACAACCACACGAATGGCTCCATTCTCAGTCGTCACGTCGGTGGCTGCGTATAGAATACCCACGTCGGCCTCGCGTTTGGCAGGATGGATGATGTGGTGGCATTGGTCTTGTCTGCGAAGCCCCCATGGTGTAGAACCCGGCTCAGCCGTGATGATGGATGTCTGAGAGACCTGAGGGGTCGACGTGGACACAGTCCTCTCTTTCTCATAGTAGATGATGCAGGTATCCGTGAGGACGCGGTCCGCAATATCAAGGTACAAAGGGTTCATGAGAAGGTCTCGAGCAAAGGTGGAGCTCTTGGCGGCGAGGCCAAAGGTATCGCCACCAGATGTTTGGCCAATTTCGGCCAAGATAGCGTCGATACTTTGACGAGTTGCTGCGCCCTCGATCACGACAACGCCGTCGGCCTTCAGATGCTGGAAGACGTCGCTGGCGCTGGCGTTGGCACTGAAGTGCTTAACTAGAGACATGGTTCGGCCGAGAAGACGAATATATCAAGGAATAGTCAAGGAAATGCAGTAGAAGCTCGTTGTGTTGTGTTTGTAAACGCAGATGTGAGTTAAGGATCAACGGACCGGATGGTTGGACTATGCAATCTTGTCAAGCGACGCTATATTTATCTTGCTGATCAACATCGGTCGCTAATATGCTGGTTATCAAACATTGTGTCTATCAGTGTCTTGTTGGAGCCGATACACGCGGTAAACCCAACTAATTCGGGTCCCTGGTTCCGAGGCTATCAGTGATGTTTTGGGCTTAGACTTCGTAACACCCATCGCATCCACACTAAACCAAGAATGATGTTATCAACCTGGCCGAGGTAGACTCTGGTAAACGAAAAATATGGATAAATAGCCATCTTGATTCCATTGAGTAGTAATAGCCTTGAACTATGCAGGAAACTCCCATCCCAATCTTATAGATCATCTTCTTATTTACCTCAATCGCAACCCACAAGATGCCCAACCCTCCTCACCAAGCCCACAATCCCGAGGTTGTCGAGCTTGACGCCTCAGTACCGGTCCAGGATATTGTGGAAGTCATCAAAAGGGACGGCGGAATTATCATCAAGAATTTTCTCAGCCCAGAGACCATCGACAAGATTCATGAGGAAGCTGAACCCTACTGGGGAAAGCTTGGAACCTACCAGGGCAAGCTCTTTGACGCTGGCGACCCCCCGTTGAGGTACCTAATCACTGATTCATAAGTACGAATACCATTAACTGACACACTTCCAGCGGCTTTGCAGGGAAATCACCAACCTTTTCTCACAAGGCCATCAACCACCCAACCTTCAGGGAGGTTGCCAAAGCCCTTCTAAAAGAGGAGTCGTAAGGCTTTACCGGTTTTCTCGTCATTAGGAGCGGTTTAACTAAGACATATCTACCCAGAAACGTGTACCGCGACGGAAATAGATACACTTGCGTCTCGAACCCCGTCTTGGCTGTTTCTGAAGCCTTCAATCGCGGCTCTCCCTCAACCGCCCAGCAACTTCACCGAGATGATATGGCACAGCACTTTGATCATCTCGAGGGCAGTGGTGAAAGCTCATTGCTTGGACTTTTAGTTGCAGGAGTGGTAAGAATCACCACAGTCTCGACTCTCGCCTTGAAAAACAGACTGACCACGTGAACCACAGGACACCAATTTTGTGAATGGCGCGACCCAAGTCATTGTTGGATCTCACAAATGGCCCGAAGCTGCTATAAAAGGCCCTGCCGATAGGTCCCTCTGCTCGACCTGCGAAATGAGTAAGGGGGATGCTGTCTTTATCATTGGTAGCATCTGGCACGGTGCAGGGGAGAACAAGACAAACCCCCCCGAGCGACGAATCATCTACTCGTGCCACATGACTCGTGGCTCCCTCAGAGCTGATGAAAACCAATATCTGGCCATCGAACATGACACCATCAAGACTTACGATCCCGAGGTTCAGGCCCTTCTCGGATATTCAGTCAGTCATCCCAACTGCGGCCACGTGGACATGAAGGATCCCATCACGCTGCTCGGAAGCAAAAGTGATCCCTTCGGATACGGCGACATTGGTGGAAAGCAAATCGTCAAGGTTACTTAGATGTGCGCGGATGACACAAAAATCAGCTTCAAAGACACCATATGAGCTTTCTCACAAGTACCGCCTTACGAATGACCCAACGTTTTCTATACTACTCGATAGTTATGTTGATTGAATGTGATTGTTGTATCTGCCAATTGATATCGAATCTGGCCCTTCCTGCTTTCACTGCCAAACCCTCTACCTGACGTGTATTCCAACCTTGATGAATCAAATCATAGCAATATGTTCAGTTCGATTGACAGGTTCTTAACCAAATCCCTCCACTTGGAGTTGCCAGCCCCATGTGCGTCGGAAAACTCCCAAATGTTCTTAAGGGAGAGTAGCATTGAAAACGGTGTTTGGAATGCCAGTGACGAATGCATCTTGTTAAGCGCATTTTCCGCCACCGACCGCGCCTCGTGTGTCTGGGCATGCACTAAGAGCATGAATAGGGGGAAAAGACAAGCTTGCAGCCAAGAGAGCTTCTTCAGTGGCTCAATGGCGGCATCTACGCATCTTTGTATACGCATGTCCTCGGACTTGAGCGCGTAGATCTCATGGTAGACGAAACAGAGCATGCCCTGTTGCCAGATGGCGTTGAAGTGTTCGACGGAATCCACGAACTCGAGATCTACCATGGACACATCTGGATCCCAGTTCCTCAATCGCTCCACGAGGTCCCCAGCTTGAGGCATGAGCTGCAAGATATCGTCTACTGGGCTGCAGGACACCTTCAGATGATGAATTTGGCTGGCGAGATCTGTTGCCTCGCGGAGCATCAAGTGCATGGTATGGTCAGGGAGGTTGTGCCACCAGAGGGATTGACTCTTGGCCCCCTGGGTACGTTCATCATCGGCCAGCTGGAGATCAGACGCTGAGACGTGCAAGTCAGCATGAGTGCTTGGAAGAATCGCTGGATTACGGAGGCACTCACCACGAACAACGGTGCTCAGCTCGTCGATTACATCCTTAGGCTTGACGTCCCGAAGGAGTGTGCGGCTCATAACGGCAGCCCAGTTGTACTGCACGACCATGCATTGTAGGGAAGCACCCATGGTCCCATTTGACCTGAGAATGGCACTCTCCAGCAGTCGTCTGCAACCGACGAGCTTCGAGCTCCAAGCATCCAGGCCAGTCCCAATGACCTGTTCATGTTAGACATTGAACAGAATAGATAGGGATTGGCGGGTGCGCGTTGCGCTTTTCATACGTCAAAGACCACCGACAGCAGGGCCGTAGCGGCGAGTCCCTCAATGTCAGTTTCCGCGGCCAGGGCCTTTCGAAACGCTTCTCTCATGGCTTTGCGGTATGGCTGAATTGCAAACTTGGGCAACCTTCCCAGGTTTGCTAGATGGAAAGCTGAAGCGAACATTATCGTGCTTCGAAGCGGAGACGATCGAGCGGCGAGGGCCCCGTATATCTCGCGGTATGGATTGAGATCTGGTCTGATAGGGTAGAGACACATGGATAAGTTTTCCATGTCTTGCAGCCAACTTGTTAGTCTCGTTCTTTGATGATCAGGAAAGTGTCTTTCTTACAATGGCAGAATAAATATTGTTCGAAAGGGTCACTTGGCGTGGGCGGCAGAGACGAGCTGCCGCTGAATCGAGACAATATTCGGTCGGCCGCCTGTGGCTCTGCGACATCATTTAACCCTAGCTCCCCTCTTTCTTGGTCATCTTCTGCAGGATCCAAGCCAAAGTCAAGTGCAGGGTCATCAATGAAGTAGTCCACTGGATCAGCATGCACAGCCAACGACCCGATGACGGACCCAAGGTCAAGGGATGGTATGTGGGCTACATCGCCACAAAACTGCAAGACTACATCATCATACGTGTCCAGGTCATCTTGGCTCCGCCAAGTATCTTCGGCGTCTTGTATGACTTCGTGAACACCAGCAGTTGACACTTGTGTTTCGGAATTAATCTGACTTTCATCACTGCGTTCTGGAGAGAGATTCGTGATGGAGTGATGGCTAGGAGTTGAGATGTGATCGGAAATCTGGGTCAAATCCTCTTCTCTGGCCACTCCTAGGTTCGACTCCAAGTTTGCCTTGGGGTTAGCGGACGGATTGGTCGAGTCAACCCCAAGGCTACTCGATGGAACTGAGTCATGATTGATCGGCGTGCCTTGGTGATTGATGTCTTCCGTCGCCTTTGACGTACATTCAACTTCACCGGCATCTGACCCTCGATGCTTTGGTCTCTTATTCGGATTGCGGCCTCGGTCCTTTGATTGACGACGGCCTCCTCTAGTCACCTTGGACACCATTTGGCCGTCGCCGCGTACAGTGAACTCTGCGAGGCGTATTCCGTAGCCTCCACATTCAGCACCTCGTATGCGGCAATTCAAGCATGCCGGCTTCGTCTCATCACATTTCTGATGGCGTTCGCGGCATGTCCAGCAACCTAGGAGGAGGAGGTATCAGTCTTGGATCGATAGGGGGTCAGGGATCAGATTATATTACGAACCACTTCTGGAGCGTTTTGCTCCCATGATTTCTAGGGGTATCTTTCAACGATGCTAGTTACAGTGGCAGCCGAGTGTACAGTATGTGAGTGAAGCGTGGGCTTGCGGGGAAGGACATCCGCTTGGTCGGCGGCATTGTCCGTCGGCAAATCAGAATGGGGCTGAAGTAATCAGCGGCTCGTTGATAAGATACGAGATAGTGGCAACATCGATGCTCGTTGGCTTCATCGCACTGGTGCTAGGTACGACCTACTCTAACATGAAACATTGGAGATGTGTTGATTTGCTTGAATGCTAACTTCTACTACTTCAAGCATGTCACTAGGATCATCAACTTGGTAGCCGTGAAAGTTGTCTCTGCTGCGGGCGCCGGATCCAGGATTCCATCCATGCATCCAACTTCCCATCGCCGACTGGAAGCCAAGAACAAGTTTAGAAAAGAAGATTCCAACACCCCAAACGTAGAAAGATTCCGACCATACCAAACTCAGTCTTTTTTTCCTAGCTAAACATTCCTTCTTTGCGTAGTTTAGTATGACTTTTGTTATCTCTTATCTACGCGCTGGATGATAAAGGCGAGTACCCTATCGCCTAAGCCCTCAACTCTTTTCCGTTATCTCTTGGTTGGTCTCGACGCCTTCCAGGGCACCATGCCTGTATTCATGGCCTGTAGTGAGCGAGCCGGTTGCTGCGCTCTCCTATCACAATCATCATCTAGGTCCATGCCACTCTGTCTAAATTGATGCCTCATGACCATTTTAAAAGCAAGAAAGTCGCACAAGTCTAGCAATCTGGATAACGGACTCAGAATTTCCAACATCACTGTCAATCCTTTTGATATACTCGCTACAGCTTAGCCATGGCTTCTCAAAAACAAGAGACCGAGGGTCTGCACCACTCTTTCGGACTTTGGAGCGCCATAAGTCTGGGATGGCTTACCCTCAATGTGTTTGGCGGCATGTCGTTCATCATCTTCTTTGGTCTCTCCGCAGGCGGTATTCCGGCGATCCTTTACGGGTTGTACGTTCCCCAACTATGCATCCGGTCACTCTGAGCAGGTTTCTGACTGATTGATTCTTAGCATCGGCTCCTGTTTGGCCGTTATATGCATCATTCTCACATTTGCACAATGTGCTTCAAGATTCTCTACTGCCGGTATGCCAGTCCAGCGACAGCTTGGGCAGTCTGAACATAACTAACGAGCTGTAAAACCCAGGCGGAGCCTACCACTACGCGTGCTTCCTAGTGCCAGACAAGTATAGACGTCAGATAGCCTACCCCCTTGGCTGGCTTAACTGGCTCGGCTGGATCTTTACACACGCCGGCTGCTGTGCAATCGTTGCCAATCTCACTCTAGGGCTTGTGAATCTCTGCCGTCCTGACTTTGACGTGTCGACGCGATGGCAGCTGTTACTCGTCTACTTGGCCATTGTCGCCACGTGTTGGTTGATCAATCTGTGGGGTCTTAAGGGCATCCCGACCTTGGAGATACTCGGCTGTACGTTACCACGGTATTCGTCTATTCTTCATCTGAGCGCTGACCTATGAAGGCTACGTCACGGCATTTGGATTCATTGCTTACACAATTGCACTTCTGGTCAAGGCGCCAAAAGCCAGCCCCAGCTTTGTCTTTGTCGAAACGCATAATTCGACCGGGTAAGTCTGAAACATCCGAGAGCAGCTACCAGGCATCTCTAATTGGAGGACCAGATACTCTTCTACTTCGCTTGCCATTTTACTTGGCTTATTCAGCAGCTTCTCAACCCTGATGGGTCTTGACGGCCCTGCCCACTTGGCAGAGGAGATTCCGCAGCCCAAGAGGCACCTCCCACGGGTCATGCTCATTGTCATCATATCACAGGCTGTCATCGGCGTAGTGTGGATTCTAGTTCTCGGCTTTTCCATCACCGACATGGACCTGGTTGTGCAGACCAAGACAGGGTGAGTGTTTGCCTGGAATTACAAGATGAGAGTTTTACTTACCAAAGGCCCAGAATACCCGTTTTGGAGCTAATCAGGTTAGCGACGGGGAGCGATGGTGCTGCAATGGTATTTTGCATTACTCTACTTATCAACAACGGCACCTCAGCTCTCGGGAGCGCTGTGACTATGAGCCGACAAGGTTACGCCTTTGCCAGAGATGGAGGCTTGATCTGGAACACAAAGTCGGTGCATTCGGTTCCTTGGCCATGAATCTGGCTAACACAGACCAGACTTGCCGAGTTAAGTCCAGGATCACACCTCCCCTTATGGTCCATCAATTTGCCATCGCTCATTGTCGCTCTAGTTGGAGTCATGTAAGTCTTCAACACTCAGCGACACTATCTCGGCTTCGTTCTTACTTTAACTTAGATATTTGTTTTCAAATGCCGCCTTCAATGCACTTGTCGGAGCCCAGGCTACTTGTATGATCATCAGCTTTGGTACGGGACCACCTTGAGTCATCTGACAACTGGATGTTGGCTAATGCAGCAATGCTAGGCTTCCCCGCCCTCATCCTTCTGGTGACCGATGGGAAATTGTTACCAGCAAATAGCCACTGGAACTACGGCGTCTTCACCAAGCCTATCTATGTGATCTCGGTTGGTTACAGCATCCTGGTGGTTATTGTCTCAGCTGTAAGTGCTTTCCTAAGAAGTGAGGCAGCGAACTTACAAGACATACAGTTACCGCAATCCCATCCTGTGACGAGCTTGAACATGAACTACACGGTTTTGGTCATGGGGGGCTTTTCCATCGTCATGGGTTTGGCATGGGTAACAGAGGGCCGTAAACTCTTCAAACCGCCGTTCAGCGAAGAGAGCTTGGTGGAAACCAATGACGTTATCACTGGGTTGACTGTGGATCTCGAAGCTGATGAAGAAGCATCGAAGGGAAAGAATGCCGCGGTATCTAGTGGATACGACAAGAATCAGTCGCTCAGCGTGACTGAAGACTGATGTGTGAAGCGTCCAGCGCCCACTAGCCACTAAATCTAAGTAATGTAAAAGACAAGAAGGTCTCAGAGACCTAACATTAGATTAGATTTGAGAATGCGGTTATACATTTCTGGATACTTGGCTGGCCTCCCATGTACATAAAATTCCCTGCGGCCTGTAAAGTGCTCAGGCACATCCAACTTCTTAGTACTGTTAGGCAGGACTGGTTCCCCTCAGGGGGATTCTGGGGAAAAGGATAGTTCCCGGTACTTTTGTCAAAGTCACTACCCATCTTGCTGCCCTTAGCTTTCTTACTGGATATTTTATGCGTCTCAGGCTCTACCGACGTCCCAGAAGAGAAGGGTCGGGAGACAGCCAGTGACGTCAATAACAACCATTATCAGTCTACAATGATGACAAGAAGCCATCAGCCACAACGGGAAAGGGCAGAGGTAATCTATACATGACGGCATCAAAGCCCAACACCGATAACAACCATTGCACCGCTCGAGAGCTCGCCCTCAAGAGTTGTTTCGCGAGTCGCTATACCCGAAAAGGGCGACTTCAATATAGCCTATGAAAGTGACATATGATGCCAGCGCCTTGTTCTTGTCGCTAATGACGTGTCTAAAGGAGGTATCAGTCATAACAGCAAAAGACGTTGTTATGAATCATGACCGGGTGATGTCTAGTTACTAGGAAAGGCAGCCCACAACGTCCCGACACGGATCGAGGAATGCATCCAGGCACTACCTAAAGGGCCAGTTCTTTCCTAGGGACAGATTTCCGCATTGGGTAATACAAAGCTCGCTAAACATAACTCCATTCGGATCAGATCACGACACACTGGTTTTCGTATGTCGCCCTTCTACTAAGCCCCCTTCATTTTTCCATTGACTTTCTCAGGGAAATGTTTATTCAAAGAGGAGGTGATCTGCGTTGTCAGATGACGGCGCCTAAGAAACCTCACACTCATACGGTACCATCGCCATCGGACACACGTCAAAATGAGACCAACCAATCAGCCTGCGAATACCTCTGCTGTCATCAATCAGGTAGAAACTGCGGAAACGTTGGAGCAGCTACCAGGGTTGCTACGGGTCGAATCCACGGTCACTCTAAGCAAAACCAAGCGGTATTTAATCACGATTCTGATTCTAATCTGCAATTTGACCCAAGTAAGTTGGGTTCAACTTGGTTTCGGATTAGCTCCGAATTCTTATTGACAGAATGTCAGTTTATCTCCATGTTCTCGACTGTTGCGGGTGGTTTCGAGCTCAGCAAGATTCTGGGGCAGCCCGTGGGCCCAGGAAAGGCAAACTGGATGGCGGCAGCCTATTCGTACGTTCATAGCCCGACAACACTACTTACCGGAACTGACCCCTCGCCTTCAGCCTTACGCAAAGTGCCTTTGTTCTCATCAGCGGTCGCCTAGGGGCTGTGTACGGTCACCAAAAGCTATTGATTCTTGGCGGCGTCGTCATTGTCGCCTTTTCAGTTGTCAACGCATTCTGCACCACTTACAGCTCGTTCGTGGCCATCCGCGCTCTTACAGGCGTGGGCGGTGGTATTCTGATGCCCAACGCCGTGGCAACTCTGACAATTATGGTTCCCCCTGGCAAGGTGCGTAACTTTACCCTGGCTACATTCGCGGCATCTCCCCCGGTCGGAGCCGGGATTGGGGCTCTGATGATGGGCGCTTTTCTTCGGTATTCCGAATGGAAGTGGCATTTTGTTTCGGTGTAAGTCGCAAGAACATCTTCGAACGATGTGCCCTGGCTGAAGCCTCGTTAGTGCTTGCATCGGGGCCGCCTGTTTCGGGGGGCTCGTCCTCGTTTTGCCTTCTGAGACACCTGTCGACAAAGGTGGCAAAATCGACTATGTTGGCATCATTGTCGGTCTGGGAGGGCTCCTGCTGTTCTCCCTAGCATGGAAGTGAGAATTTTCTTTCCTTTTTTGCGTCTCTCTTGCTCTCTCATGTGGCATCATGCTAACAAAGTTTTAAGCCAAGCTCCGGCAGATGGATGGGAGACTCCATATATCATCGTCATGCTCATTCTTTCTTTGATCCTCATGGTATTTTTCTTTTTCTGGGAAAGCAGATGGGCTGATGAACCTATTATGCCTCCCTCTATCTTCCGTGGGAAAAGCTTCAAGGCCCTTACTGTCGTGGTTCTATTCATTTACATGGCAGTGGGCATCACACTCTGGTATATGGTTGCTTGGCAGCAACTAATCCGCGAGTGGTCTGTCCTCGAAGTCGCTGTTGGCTGGATTCCATATGGACTCGGGGCATCGTTCGCTGTGATCTTGGCTGCGTGGCTGATCCCTCGACTTGAGGCACAATGGATTCTGGCCATCGGATGCCTCACGTCGCTAACTGCGACACTTCTACTGGCCACCATGCCAGAACAGCAATCATACTGGGCCCAGGTTTTCCCTTCTACCTTGTTCGGCAGTTTCTGTCCCGACTTCGTCTATGTTGCCTCCCAGGTCATTGCCAGCAACAGTGTCAGCAAAAAGGAGCAAGGACTGGCGGGTAGCCTCATCGGAACGCTCAATCTGTACGGCAATAGCTTAGGATTGGGCTTTGCGGGAACAATCGAGTCCAACGTGGCCAAGCGCCACTCAAGCGAGGTGTTGGGATTCCGGTCAGCATTGTGGTTTGGGGCGGCTCTGTCTGCTGTTGCGTTGCTGATGGATCTGTCCCTCGTGAGAATGGACAAGGAGGACCAGGAGGGTTGGAAGTCGACTGAGGGTGAGCTTGAGACAGTTGGCAGGTGTTCGTTACATGGAGGAGAAGGGACTGAGAGCTGAGGCCTCGGGAACGGTTCGGGAGTCATTGTTCACACGTATAGGTAGTAGGCCACAGGCCACCGTCAAAGGAAGCTCTACGGTACCGTATCGACTCAGCAAATTGACCTAAGCCAGTAGGGCGTAGTCTCCTGGTTAAGCCCCAATCCTGACCTATTGGTTGGCTCTTTGGAAAGCTGATGCGAGTTAGTGTAGCCACTACCGCAGTGCGTCCTGCCTTGACGGTGGGAGAATAAACCAAGAGCTCTGAAATCAAGGCTTGCAAGGGTATGTCGCCCCGTCGGCTTAGGCCAATTTGCTGAGCCGATATCGTGTTACAAAAATGGACATTTTAAGCCTATATCTTTTGAACCTAATCCCTCCACTAAAAATGTCTGTCCCCAACTCCATGCCAGACGAGATTTCTATGGCCTGCCAGTATTCGGGCCTAAGGTTTGTTCCATGCCATTATTGCGGTACTCTTGATCTTCTCTTCCTTTGCCAAAGGCGTTGATGTCTTGAATGTCAATGGTGCAGTCGAGGGTGATGCAGCCATAGGTGACAGAGGTTTTGGAGACCGGCTTTCGTTCCATGATGAGACCAATGCCTTTGAAAGATGGGCGGATAAAGTGTGAGTCGCGGTCATGGTGTAAAGATGGAGGCGCAGTTCGGGTAGAGCAAGCAGCTAAGTGGATGTTTCATGAGCTCAAGTCCATAGTAATAGCTTGCAACCTCCTCCTGTGTGATGCAATTCCAATCATTTGTAGTTATCAGGCGCACTGCGCGGACCAGTTACCGTCCGATAAGAGAAGTGTGCTGCCCCATGGCCATGTTATCAGTAAGTTAGGCATACAGCCGAGCTTATGATTACTACATTTGGCTTAGACCGTTTTGGATAAGTCTGCACTCTTCAGGGGCCCTGATAACGTCCCCCTTGCGATGCGGACCGAATTCCAATGACCCTCAGGTATAAGATTCGCATGTGGCTGAAGGTTGTAATACGTTATCAAAGGTGTGGTAATACGTTTCGAAACCGAGGATAGCTTGCTGTTGATAGTGTTGAGATGAGGTTTGAGATTTTTAGTTGTCATGGTCACAGATGAGTGTTGTCTTGCTTCGTATGAATATGGAAACATTGAAAAGAATTGAGCACTCGCTCTCTAGAGAGATAAATGAATAGGAACTCGAAAACTTTTTATTGACTTACTATAAGCTTTACGCCTATATGAAAATTTAACTTGAAATCGATTTTGACCAGCATTTGGTTCAGCGTTGTGGTAAGCTCACGTATCTGTCTATCTACCTTGCGAAGTGTAAAATTTTACGTGGGTAGCTACCCTAAGGAAGCCTTCGGTTTTACCTGACCCCCTCCGTTGAGTTTTTTATTGTTTTATCGTAATTGTCATTCATGACCTCTTTTGGCGGTTATAAACTATAACTATTGCCTAGTTATTGTGTCATCGAATCTTGTACATATTCAGTTGTGTTGCGGCTGTGTTATTTCCATTTGGTCACTCAGAGAAATCACGTCAACACGTGAGCACAGACCCGCCACACGCACCAGGCTGTTACGCGTTGCGTGTTGCGCGTTACGCGTCACGCGTGTTCCCGCAGCCGCTGGAACTTTGGACAATTTGCAGAGAGCCAAGCAGATCTCTGAGCCTCCTCTGTCAGCAACCGCCCACCTAGTACTCCCATAATCTCAGGCAGTCTCGGATTTCTTCCGGCTTGAAGGCTTGAACCTAGCCATAGAGTCGCATTGTTATAACCTGTCACGTCGATGAATACCCGTGCTTGATCTAAAAGGCCAGAGGCTAAATGCCGGCCCATATCTGAGAACGAAAGGGTCATGATGGATGTAGAGCCTTGGATGGTTCTTTTCAGGACGCTTTTGGCAGGTCAAAGCCGGACAGTGATGGCATCTATACATGGGTTCCCTGTTAGGGGTCTGTCTATACGAAGCTCAATGGCTTACTTGCGAATGAGACTCCTGTAATCCCCAACGCGGCCTTCCTGTTTCCACCAACATGTGAACTGCGACTGTCTCTTCAGAGTTTCCAGACCGACGAGAAACACTTGATAGGCCGTTTTGGAATGATTCATGATGGTACTCCCTGCTTCGTCTAACCAGGGACGACAACCACTATTGGAATTGACTATCTTGTTAGCTGGTGATAGTTAAAGCCTAAAATGACCCCTTCGACTCCTACTTCACTGCATACAGGCAACAGAAGGTTGGCTTGATAGTCGCTCTGGCGCCCGGGTAATACTTCGCGTTCTGAGCTGAGAAGACCCGAGCGAGGGGGTGAGAAGAGCCGGTCATCCTAGGATGTCATGCCACGAACGTGCTCATGGAATGTCAGAATAGTTGACCTTTGTTGGAGCAATGATGGCAAAGTATCACTCTATCGTGGGGTGGGGGTGGGCGAAAAGGTAAATTTTGTTCGTGGGCGCTGCACAGTCATTGAAATGTTGTTATGCGAGGGTGCAACTCCCCTGATGGACAGTGAGCAGGAACTTGTTTGTTCTTGAGAAGAGACAATGCGTTCCTTCACTTTGTCATGTAAGACATATCCCTTTCTAAACGAGGGGTACCTACATATGCAAGAGGAGTGTATTGAGTGGTTGACTAGCTGATTATGAGATTAGTGCTGTCTCAAAATTCAATGGATTTTCCGTCCCACATAAGGCATCACCATTCCTTGCCAAGCCTTAATATTGAATCCAAATTCTATCGCCATAATCTAGCTGATCAAGGCTCTCACATGGCTGTAGGTGATTGGCGTAGTCATGCAAAATGTCTCATACTGCCTTGCCCAGTAAAACTAGACTGTTCCCACCAAACCAGGTTTTTTTATTCTCCCTTCAAGCCATAGAAAAACCGGCAATCTGACCGACCAAAAAGCAGAGAGGCTCCGGGGGTGTTATAGACGTCAAAACATAGGCTCGTACGTTATATACCACCCTTGTTTTCTGTCCTCCTCTCTGTTTGTTGAATCGTCATTATGAAGATGCTTGTTTTGGCCCTTGCTTGGGTTGGAGGCATCAACGCCGCCACCCCTAATTCGCAAAACGAAGATGCCAAGTTGACCCAAGAGAGCCACAGGGTCCAGTGCTTTACTTACTTGTCGACATATTTGGCTCCTGTTCGCTCACGAGCTCAGGCCTCCCTACCTACACGTAAGTTGCATCCCCTCCCCCGATCAGTCATTGCTAATGTTATGATAGTTGAGGAGAATGACGGGGAAAACACCCAGACGACGTTTTACACAAGGAGGATACATGTGGATGAGCTGGATGGCTCGCCTTCTTCAAATGGTCAGGTTGGCCATGGGGTAGCGTCAGGAACATTCGAGCCCCTTTACACAAATACACCCCTTGTTTCGTCGTCCTCAGAAACAAATATACCCAACCTAGGCAACAAAAAGGGCGCAGAGATGGCCACGGGGACGGGCAGAGACTTCTTCACCGACACGTCTCACACAGGGCGCATGCCGCCCAACTCAGACAGCCATGACGGACTTGATATAGATTCGGGAACATATGGCACCCTTCTCACTGATACACTGGCACCTTCCACAATGGCCACAGGTGGTTACAACTCAGGTGACCTGGAGGAACCAGATGTAGCCTCTGGAACATATGGACCGTTTTACACAGACACACCGGCACTTCCTACATTGGCTGCAACTCGTCACTTCACCTCAACTGGTCAACAGAGACTTGATGTGGCCTCAGGAACATACAGTCCATTTTACAGAGACACGCCAACCCTATGGAGAACAAAGTCAACAACAGGTGATGGGACATCAGCTACAATTGCAATGGTTGAGTCAGGAAACCCAGTTGCCACGGACTCACCCTTTACTTCAAATAACTAACTCGTGATCTGATCAATAAATCATATGGCCCTTGCAAGCTTCTGTGACATGGACCGGCATACTGACCTCGTCTATTGCAAGTGGCTGAGTGTAGCTTAATGAGGTAGAAACACAATGCAGAGAGATTGTTTAGTTAAAAGGCTAGTCACAATTCTCATACAACAGAGCCTGACTACAAGTCAGAGGACTTTCCGGGAGCATAAGGGTGATTAATTACTTTGTCCTCACCGGATATTTCAAGATACCGAGGTTAGATATGGTACAAATTGCAGACCGCTCTGCGGCTTCTGGACAAACCAAGTAAAAGGGGCGGGAGCGTCTGCCCTTAGGAGCCTGGGCTAGGGTTTTATATCTTCTACTGATAACTAATCTTCATTCACCGACTTTCTTAGAAAGTTTCCGTGCTTTCAATGGACTTATAAATGCGCAAGAATGTAGTTCACATGATCATACATCATTTGACCGCTCTACGCTATATTAAGCACTATTCAAAGATAGGATGTATGTGAGATATTCTGTTTGGAGGTTTGGATGCGATGCTGTAGGTATATAGTTGTCGAAAGGAAAGCACATCTTACCCGTCAAGGAGCATTGAGTTTTGATGCTGCCCTGTATTGATGACTGTATTTATTACGGCTGTGCTTGATGACCTCTTTTAGAGTCATCATTGGTGACAAAAGAAATCAGTATATCGCCTTGTGCTTTGATATTAGATCCACGTCTTCTTGTGAAGACGCCATTGGGGCTACCAACTCTGCGTGTCATGTTTGGTGATCTATCTCACTTCCACATGCGTGAGGGACCAACCGAAACTTCATCTGAAGCGGGTGCATTGCAATCATACATAATTTCTGCCATTAACATTGTCTTCTTTATTATCTGCAATGATGACAAGAAGCCATAAGCTACAAAAACAGCAGCCACAATTATATACATGACGGCATCAAAATACAGTATCGTAAAACACCATGATCTTACAATAACAGCCATGTCAATGCCAAAGGTGACATACATTGCTCGTTAGCTACCAAGCCGTTTGAATTGCTTGTACCACACAGCCTTTGACCACCGTCAAAGGTGAGTAGTCAGGGTGATACATTGATCTAGACGTATGGTAAACGAGTAGAGGAGCCAAGAAACGTGCCCATGTATGAGTGTCTGGCCTGATACTAAGTCAACTGGAGGCATCGCAAGGTGCCAGATTTGCGCTTACGCCTAGCTGGGGCTTCAATATAGTATAGCACTTGACGCAGGTATACCAGAATATCTTTTGGCGGTTTCCCTGAGGGTGGTATACTCAACGCTGCGTCTGTGTATTAAACTGAACCTGTGTACTGGACGTTGATTTTATGTATTCTATTCTTGTCATCTAACTTCTTTTTGTTGTTGAAAAGAACGCCCAATTTGCTCAAAGATTACCATCCTTTCAAGGTGAACATTGCTAAGAGCCGCAGTCACGGCATGAAGATCTGGCGACGAAAATCACAACTACTACAGCAGTTAGTGCGCCATGGGATCCGAAATCAGGCAGCCATGAAGTGCCCACTATACCTCACACCTCGGAGCTTACCATAATGGTGCAATTATCCACATTGATGCAGTTACGCACGGTTCAGCCTGTTCGAGATGAATCCTTCGAGGGTGAGCATTCTTACCAACGCACCAATAGGCTCGTGACAGGTAAGAAGGGAGCTAATTTAGGGGGCCTTTGGTACGTTATGGAACCCTTGTTTGTTTTGCACTGATGGAGATGGAATGCCGCATCTAGAAATCGCCGGCTTCAAGACCAACACTCTTCAAGCCGGCTTTTCACTGATACACAATACTTAAATATCACTCCATGCCGATCCACGGGTATTGATTCCATCCAGGTTCATACATATCACGTATCACAAAATCCACGAAACCGTCCGAAATGGTTGCACAGGCCGCAACTGCTCTAGACCTCTGGCTGTATGCTAGGAATGCCGTTCAGTTTGTGGTATGTGCCAGAGAGCCATCAGAGAACCATACATTGACAGAAAATCCAGGTTGCATATCCTTACTTTTACCTTTTCCCAATCCTCACAATCGCCCGCAACTCGGCTCTTGCAGACTCAGCCGGGTCCGATAAGCTCCCCAACGACTCACCCAACTTTTTCACCGCATTCATATTTCCGTTTAAGCCATTCTCTGTCTGGGTCGTTGAACAAGTATTCCGAGAAGTCCTGACCACCTTTCTCGGTCGGTATCTTGGACATATCGCCAAAACCATCATTGCCATCGTGTTTTGTGCCCCATTGAAACTCTTGCGTACGTGGGCAATTGTCCAAGGCAATCGTTCCTCCCTGCGAAACCTGGTCTTCTCTGTTCGCTCTGTTCGTTTAGTTTCCTGGGGCTACTATGTTAGCACCTTGATAGTGTGCGAGGCAGTAGAACTACTGGTCATCTCGTCCGTTGCCCTATCTTTCAAAGACGCCGCCCAAGACGTGGGCGTCATCCCACAACAAACCGATGAAGCAACTTCCGACACAAACTCGACGTGGGTCCTGGCTTTGTTTGCCGCTATCGCTGGTCCAGTTGGGATAGTTGTTTTACTGGAGTGGTTTCCAGCTACTGTGATCTGTGTGCGAGCCGCTCTTTCACTCCTGGATCCAAGGTATGGTGGGGGGCATGGATTACGGCAAGATATTCGGCTGTCATTAAGGTCCATAACCCTTTCATTATGCGGAAAGTTGGCACTGTACTATTGTCTCGGGATGATTGCGACAGCCGGCACGAAAGTCTTCTTACTTGTCATTGATTGGGTGTTTGATCTTATTTTGTATCTTAGAACGCTGGACAGTTAGCCATGGATCCGTGACCCTCAAAAGACATGAGCTCACATGTCTTAGTCTCATCCCTTGAGGTTATCAATATCACACCGGTTCTTCTAAAGTGTGCGTAGTTCACAGGGCCTCCCAAGTCACAGCATCATTCACATCACTCCCACCCTGAAATAACTCTTGTTCTAGCCTTGACTGTTCACTCTTTGATTAGGCTTGCAGTGCTTCTTAGACCATGCTCTTTCCCGGGATCCGGCCCAAACTACTGCCGTGTCGGCGCCGTACGTCGTGGGCAAGAACTCGATCACGCCGTCATCGAGTAGATCCCTCACGAAGATCACCTTTGGTCTAGAGGATATAGCATTGATCAAAGGAATCCTTGACAGAACCCTCAAGCCAGATCTTTGAGAACTCTGTTGGTTGCTCCGTAATATCATGGGAGTAAGGACAATCTCTTGGCTCGCTTCTCCCGCCAAGGGCCGGGCTTCAACGATAACAAACAACACAGTATTAGCACTTCATAACATCATATCCCAATCCTAACAGGAAGGTAAGAGCGTCCCTTAGAGGTGATCGATGTCTCCGAGGGCCCCAACTGACTGACTGAGCCTCGACGAGAAAAGCGAATGTCACAGGCTAGGTATGACTCTTCTACTATTGCAGAAGTTTAAAAAGGCCACTGTGTTAACATCGGGTCATGATGTTATGACGTGTTGAAGATCTGTTCTTTATTATAGTTGTAGCCCGGCTCTCGATGGGTTAACTAAGCCCGAAGATTGATTCTCCAAGTGAAAAGGCGAATCAGTACGCGATATCGAGTCTTGGCGTTACAATACAGATTATGGGTGGAAACTAGAAACGAGGATTGCGGCCTCTCTCTGTTGGAGGATGCAATGAAGGGGGCTATTGTCTCGACACGTAGGAAACAAACATAATGCGTGATGCGCGTCGTGGACAGGAGCAACGCAGAGATCTCACACCGTCATTAATAAAGTAATGTTTAGTGATTTTACACGGTTTAATCAGCATACCATGGAAGGATCGGGAGGAACTTTTACCGGCAGTCATTGATGATACGGTATTGATGGGGCAGCAATCCGTCACGCAACAAATTACCTATAAGAATTCACATCAATGATACACTGTAATAACATATCATCATTACGCTCAAGTAAACATGAAGCCTGATAGAGTACGGAAATCACAGTGCAGGACTGCAAGCATGATCTCCTGTCTGAGCAAAAGGTGACAGAGACCGGCCAAGTGAAAACGCCGATAATATTCGTATCACTACAGCTTACCCTACATGCCCTAATGAAACCAGTAGCTAACCTCACATGCCATTCCTAACTCTCATGTAGAAGCTAGGACTAAACCACACTATTACTAGACTTAAGTTGCCATTAATGATTTGTTGGAAACGCAGCACACTTCACCAATGCTAAAGCCATAAAACCTCTTGTGAAGCGAGGACTATAATCATCGATAACAACGAACGACATGGCAACTGCTATTGGAGCTGAGAGCTTATGGACACGGAAGTAACTAGGTAAGCATCGAGTTTAAGTTGTGGCCAAGTATTGTTGGGGCATACCCTACCACGCAGTCTCCAAGCTCAGGGGTACTTTGCGTGACAAGGTTTCCAAAGAGGGAAACTTGATCTAAACTATGGTAGCATTGATAGCTATCTGCTTAGCTATTTCTAGCGCCCAACGCCATGACCAACGATTTAACCGCTACTCCATCCTGACATGTTTACCAATCCTCCCGGGCGGGTTTCGGCATGGAGACGCTGTTTACCTCAGCCCACAATGTTTGCTAGAATCTCCCTCGGAAAGAAAGGCTCCCAGATGCTGGGATCAGATTTCTTCGTGTGCAGATCTGTATCTCAAACCAAACCGGAAGTACTGTACAACTCAAGTGCTGCAGCCCGGATCGTTGCGGCATCTCTGCTTGACCAGCCAGCAACGAGAGCTATGGTGACGATAATCAGTTGGAGAGAAAATGTAACGAATCTCATTGCAAAACTTCCTGTGGCCGGATGTAGGCTGGGGATCTGCGTACAGGCGTAGATTATGTCGTAGTTCAGGCGGATCGACTGTAGCACGGTGCTCGGTGCCGCCGCCATGATCAACACTTTGGAAGCGTGGTAGTTGACATCCTGACGAGCATATAAGGTGTGCTCGCCGGCAGGCCATAGCCAGAGAAAAGTACTGAGGATGACCAGGAACATGAGGGCGTTGCCAGTCTTGTTAAGTCCATCGTTTAGGACCCCTGCCGTTTTTTTCGTGTCACGGCTTCCACCGTATGCGGCCATGACGGTCCCGACAGTGTAGATAAAATGCATTCCAGCGAGAACTGCTTTGTTACTCCATCGCTTGGATGGAGATAAAGGCAGGATCGAACTTGGCTGAGGTCAGCTTTGAACAAATATCCTGCGTCAACAACGATTCGGGTGTGCATACGCTTCGTAAATCAAGCCAATGATGGTCAAAGATAAAGTCGCAGTGCACGCAGAACTGGTCATCATAGCCACTGTCGTGGGTACGTCAGGCTTGTCGCGGCCGGCCAAGTAATAGGCGTCAGAGATGATTCGGAAAAGGAAAAACGTAACGAGAATTGGCCAGCACATCTTGCCAGTCTTTCCATGCTTGTAAGCGATGTACAGCGCAGGAAACAACAACATGGTAAAAATGACAAGTGTTGCGCAAGAGAGGCCAATACATTCTGCGGATGCAGGGCTTGGGGGGACGGAATCTGCAGTGGGCATGTTTGGACGAGGAATCCTGAGTTGATTTGGTATACAAAAGTCGTAGGAGAGGTGTATGCGAGAAGGGACTTTGATTCATGTACATCAAGAATGAAGTCCTTCCAAGAAGGCGATCATCTAGTTATAGCTGATGAGAATACACCTTTGTTTAAATGACACAGACATCCAATGCCTCACATCTCAAGCTCCTTCTGCCATGGAGAAACTCTAAATGGGCAATATCTTGGTTACTAGGCCAACAGAAGTAGTCCTCTCGACGGAGACTAGGATTTAAATTTAGAAGGTCTCATATGTTGGGGGTGCTGCTTGCTTTCAGTAGTCAATCATTTCTCTATTAGTGAGGACAAGTCTAAACTTGCTTGTGACGCTGACGCGTTCCATGTACCGAAAGCAAGTGGCTGAGTTACCCCTGTCAATCATGACTCTACGTCTTCAGCAAAGTGCCGCAACTCTTTTCGCTTAGCATCTGATGCGCTGGCTGTGGTACCAGATTTTGATCTCGGTATTCAAATTGGTTCGTTACAGGAACCAATTACTGGCTCATACATATGTAGGGGTGAAAGATTTCTTGCAGAGGTATGAAATTGATGTTTTCCTATGGTTCAAAGTGTGCTCGTCCTGAAAAGGCTACTGACATGGCTGTTTTACAGTACTTGTTTAGAATTCCGCGATAAACCCGAGTTGGTCCGTATTATAGCATGCTGCCTTGCCTTAGGTCACACCCTGACAACAATCCTTGCCCGGAAACATTCGGGATATCGGGTACTTTAGTAGCCGATGACGCCAAGGAGCGTGGCTTAGGTGGTAATCAGCCCTCGCACCGTTGTGGGTGGTGAGGCTCATGCCCGGAAGTTTATGACTTCCTATGACTAAGCGGGATAAGTAGATTACGGAAGACACTGCCCAGTCAAGAAGCTGTTCAATATGCCTGTAGAGGAAGATGTGTGAAGGCGCCATGATCTCAAGATTAATCAAAGACGTAAACAAAAGAGCGATGATAAGGACTTGCTCACTGTCCAAGGAAGAGAGACTCAAAGAAAGAATGAGATTGTCTGCAATACTAGGTAGTGGATGCTTAAGCTTCTGACAATCAAGTAGACTACACCTGTACACACGCTCTATTTGTTTTCATGCAGACTCCAAAATATCCGAAGCCGAACACACTTGAGTCCCAGTCCCGCATCATTGGCTCTCACCATCGTTCTTATAAAGGCTTTCCAAAGCGTAATAAGTTGACGCGATGCCTACCTACTTGTACCTACCCAAGTCAACTTGTACTATCATTTGCCGTTTTATTTCAATTTTTTTTTCGCTTTTCTGACAAGTCCAAGAAAAGCCACCCACCACAACAGGAAAACTGGATAGTTAAGCCACGGCATTGACGAAACACATTGATCTGCCCTGAATCAAAACAAACACTAGCTTATCGAAGCAGCTTCATTGGTCAACTGAGATTCTCGGCTAACCTTCGGTTAATCCTTGATTCAGAAGCAGACTTTAACCCACCAACCAGCAAGGCCCGATTGTTAGAACTCGCAGTCAAGATTTGAGAACAAATGAACGTAAGCCTCACTTATCAATGAGACGGTATGACGCATTGGCCAGGGTTCATCTCAGCGCAAGTGTTAACTTGAAGTTGTTCGCGTTTACGTTGACATGGCTGGGGCCAATCATGGCTCTCATTCCTTGCCCCACCGTTGTCAGGTCGACGCGACGCGACACGACGCGACAACAACGAACATGTGACCATACCCAACGACATCCCATCAATAGCGACGACACATCGAACCCAAGAATCGCTGCAGCTTTCGCTAGGGCTCTTGGTTTTTATCAGAACGCTGGGTTCTAGATCCATTGTGACCTGGCTGAACGGAATCGATGATGACGCTCAAACGGGATCCGAGCAATCCACAGTTCAGTTAATGAAGCAAGGCCTCACGCACCAAGATCGAAAACGAAGACTTCCGTCACCTCCCTCTGAGGACCACACTCAGCACCCTCTTATCTCCCAAATGGATAGCCTCGGAGCGCCAAAGCGTCCCAGGGTAGCACCTGTGACCAATACGACTGACCCTCAACTCAGACTGTCTCCAAAATGGGGTCGAGGAGACAACGACTATGACTCGGACCTGGAGGAGGAGGGCACCCACACGCCACGAGCGTCAGAGTCTAGTGTAGGCAACAGGTCACGGTCCGCAAGGTCGAGCAAAAAAATTTCCCCAAGCCGTGTCTCAATCTCAACGTCTTCCTCTCCAAGCCGGAAATTAGACAGTTTATCCCTAGATGCCGACGGAATCGTAACTCGACAGCTCGGCTTTGGCGATAAACGACATCCAGTTGTGCTCAAACAAATGCTTTCCAAGGTCCTCGAGTGGTCAAAGTGGAAGGGCATTCTGAGCTCAAGCATGCGTCAAGTGTTCGGTCATGATCTCTCAGAACACGGCCTGGACGAGGATGACGCGTATTCGAAGGTACCAGACGACTACGGTATCAGCTTGTCACCAAACGCTGTAGACGAGATTCTAGGCCACGCAAGTCAATGTTTCGAGAAAAGTCACTCAGAAATGGTATGGAACTTTGAGGTCCATCATCGTCTCTTGGAGAAGGTCTTTCGGGTTGGGGAGCGTCTACGTCTAGTCGATATTATTTCATGTGTGATACTGGACCACCTCTCTATACTCCTACTGGCAACCCTAATACTAGTATCAGCCATTCTGCCACCATCACTAAGGAGTATCTACCCACGGCGGCAGGATCCAAGCTTGTTGACTTTTGCGTCTACGTCAACCCCGAAGCGGGTGCCAAGAGTGGGGAGAACTACACTGACCGTGTCAATAAGTTGAGACGTTCTCTTCCAATGCTATGCATGAATCACACATCCTACCTCGGACTCAAGGCTGAGCCAATTTCCATCAGTCTGGAGACTAAGAGATCGGGCGATGATGAGGACAATGCCACTCTACAGATTGGCACATGGCAAGCTGCCCAGTGGAATTATCTCAAATACCTGCTAGTAAGAGCAGGGGGCGAGGCACATGCTGAGACTGATCTAGATGAGCTGGGCATTCTACCGGCCATAATCACTCAGGGCCATCAGTGGAGCTTTGCGGCGACGACACGCGAAAACAGCAAAACGGCGAGTATCCCTCCCCTTTCCATCAGCTGCCTCGGCTACCGACGCAGTCGCATTTCTTCCCATGCACTAACAGTCAGCAGATCCTCTGGGCTAAATTTCCCTTTGGTGATACCACTTCGTTAGCCGGTGTTTACACAATTGCCACGGCTGTTCAATACCTACGGCACTGGACTGCGACCGTGTACTGGGAATGGTTCAAGAGAAATATTTTAGACATCACTCTTCAGGCTCCTATTTGAAAAGAAGCAGGTTATAGTTGATATCCATTAACGAGTCCGCGATGCCATTTATTCATTCTCACCTCTCCCGTTAAACGCCAAGAACTTCAATGTGCTGTTCCAAGTGCACCAGCGAGCAACGTCATGCTTCCATGCTCGTACTAGCACATATATTCAGAGATACTACCCATACAACGCTATGCTGCTCCATCATCGAAGGCTATGATTGTGCCCTCGACTTGAATTGCCTGATGCCTGGGCACTACATTCACATACAGTCTTGAAGCATGTTTGTGACAGTCAAAGATAAACAAGCAATTTAGGTATACACATAGAAAGAGAGCGCGCACAACATTTTATTTGCTCTCATATCGATTAGCAAACAGTTGTCTGGCGAGACAAGGTCACCTTTCTAATAATATACAGAGGCTCGAGGGTAGCGGGAAAGGGAAACACAGAACTGTAAATATAATTACTACATGGACTTTACCAGGAAGCAATTCAAGCCAGGAAAACTGGACTTGGGGGGCCAGAAAATTGAGTGTGAAAAGTAACCTGATGCCGTCGCTCTCATAAATCTTGTGACACTGTTAGTGGATGAGGTTTATACCCTTTTAAAAAAAACAAGAAGTAGTGAGTATTTTAACATTTAACATAAAATAACATTCAAGTTTCAATATACGAGAGCATCCTGCATTAATTTAATAGCTAGAGATGAGCGGTCTGGTATGACTCATTTAACGTAACGTCTGTCTCTTCAAGGAGTCAGCCAAGGCAATGATCGAGCAGACCAATAAGGAGTAGACGGCACCAATGCTGTACGCGGACAAAACTTAAGCCTCTAATGTGAAATTCTTGAGTTACCTTGGGTCGATGGGCCGCTATATGGTTTGTATAAACTGACAAATACTGGGGTATTGGCAATGAAAAGCTCGCGGGTGATGTTAATCACCTTCCATGCCATGCATGGACTCCCTTTATTGACGGACGAAAGAGATTCCATCGTAGTTTAGCCGCCATAGCGACTCGAGATAGAAGCAGCGGTGGGTTCTCACGATCACGGTGTTAGCGTTGGGACATAATATTATGAGGTGCTGATATTGTGTTCTTTGTTGAAGTTAAAGACCGGTCCCTGATGGGATACCTGCGCCGATATAGAGTATGGTTTGAGAAATTATCACCGGGTTCTCTCGGAACCAGCCATGGCCGGGAAAACTGCAGTTGAAAGTACCTTCCGGCTCTCCTAGAGACTTATTGTATATTTATCTAGCTCCTATGACAACAATAATAGTCTAGAACTTTGACCGTTCTGGCCATCTTTGTTCTCTTTGGCGTGCAAAGTGGATCGATCTTTATGTAAACCAATCCTAATGGTCCCTAGAAGAGAGCAACTTCTCGTAGAACAAAGCTGTAATCTGACCAATGGCCTGTTCAGTGTCAAGGTTCAATGCCCTCTAGCAGTAGCTTAGCGTCCAAATCTACCCGTCTCACCGTCTTCGCTAATGAGCCGTCGCGGTGTAAAATCGACAATAATAACTCCTTTTGCTATACCTTGCGTCGCTTGGCTTGCTTCTGTGGGCACCTGTCAAGCGGGCCGGAATCCCTGGGAGCCCCTCATCTCGCATTGAGCGGACGGAGCTTGCGAGCCGTAGTCTTTTTATGGCGACTGTGTTGTTATTTTCATTGGTAGCAATTGCAGCCGAAATGGTAGCGTCAGTTGGTTTCAGGTTTTATTATCAGGGTCCATGTCTCGACGGTAGCGGTCGGTTCGGATATCTCGGCCGGAGAAATGCCATGTTTCAGACCCTAGAACGGCAAAATTAATTTTGTAGGTGTTGGGTTGGATCTCGCATAAATACAGGTCCATCGCCTCTTCCTTCAACGTGTTTGTCTTGGCTAGACATCCATTACCCGACAACAAAGATGCTTTTCCAAACCGCCCTTCTCGCACTGTCCATTGCGACTCCCTCCCTCGCGCAGGTCCGCGAGAGCTTTGAAAGCGGATGGGACAAGGTCGCATGGCCGACCTACGCGCCGGACTGCGACCAGGGCGGCAAGGTCACTCTCGATAGCACGAGTAAGGCTCGCAGCGGTAAGAACTCAATTAGGGTTGATGGCGCGGGCGGTTATTGTGGACATAAATTCTTCGGCACTACAGCGGTTCCGGACGGTGAGGTCTACGTCAGGGCATGGATGTGAGTTTGGAGATTTCTCTGTGCTGTGTGCAAGAGTCAACACTGACACTCACTAACTAGTAAGCCTTCCAAGGCCATCACTGACGCCCACGTCACCTTCATCACCATGCCCGACTCTGCTCAGGCTGCTGGAAAGCACCTCCGCATCGGTGGACAGAGCAAGATCCTCATGTACAACCACGAGTCCGACGACGCCACCCTGCCCGATCTCTCCCCTCAAGGCATTGCCGCCTCGACGACCCTCAAGGCCAACACTTGGCAATGCATTGAGTATCATCTCGGTACTGACGGCACCGTCGAGACCTGGGTGGGTGGCAAATCTGTCAGCGGTCTTACGAGCAAGCCAAACACTGCGAGCGACTTTAACGGCCAGTGGAAGAGGGGAAACATTAAGCCCAAGGTCTCCGCTGTCTACTTCGGCTGGGAGTCATATGGCGGAGATTCCAACACTGTCTGGTACGATGATATTGTTGTCGACTCGAGCCGCATTGGATGCTACGCAAAGTCCAAGTAACTTGTGCCAAGTCTGGATATCGATATCCTTCAATCGCCTGGAGCGCCTTTATTTCTCATGTAATTTAATTCGCCACACGGCCGCTGAATTGCAGTAAATACACACCATGGGCCCTCATTTCGATTCCATGGGGGACCGCAAGTACACAGCTGTTCTCGAACCCCATCGCCCAGAGTGCACTTATGAAATTGTTCCATAGCGCCTTTCGCAATCTGCTCAAGCGCTAGAGTTATCGCCTCGAGGCTGCTAACTGTGGCATGCTAACCAGCTGGGAGACTTCACTGCTTGTCCACGCAGTGACTTTGCTACTGAAGATGATTCGTACTCCACAAGACGCGGCAACTCAAAATCGAGGTGTGTGTTTGACATATTCACGTGATGGAAATGTGCTCATCTATGAGTCGGAACCTCTGACTACCCCAAGTCACGTTGAAGATTATACTGTGGCATTCATGTCGGCTTCAGCCGGTCTCAATGGTGATCGAGGCTTCATTGAACTGAGTGCTTAGGTAACTGAGGTCAACTACCCTAGATGACACTCTGAGGACCGAGGAGAGAGAACATATTCGAGAGAATACAAACGCAGGGAAACCTCTAATCGTGGCTTCCCCGTCTCTAAATATCCCGAGGCTCAATCCCATGATCTTTGGAGCTTGATTGTGTTCAAGCAGTGCCAGAAAACAACAGGCGAAGAGTCTCAAGGCACAAACTGCCATTTCGGCCACCTGTGTCATGAATTGTTCTTCCCCCCAAACTCAGAGGCGGTCTGAACTCTTACGGAGTGAACAAGATGTTCTTTCGTTCATCTCCATCCGAGTACTTTCCTCTCATAACCCAGCGATTATGCACCACATAGACAAGAAGCTGGACTATGGCGGAAAAGATCCCAATGGCCACCATTATTATCATCGTGCGAAGACCAATGTGATAGCTTCAAGGCAGAATCGTCAGCTTCCGAATGCTTTGCTGATGTGTTTAGTATAATGTACTTACAATGGCCTATCCTCTGCCTGGAAATATTGAGTTCCTATCATCATGCCGGTAGTCGCAGACATCACCCACATCCTAAGTATCTCGTTAGGGCGACTGTTTATATGGTCATCATACGTCGACGTACGCTAATGCTATACTTCGCTCGCCTGTGTCATGGCAATTAAGCTGTGTCCACGAGTTGTGGACGGGATGGTAGCCAACAGCTACACTGTTCACAGCGGTCCAAAGACCCCATCGCGACCACTTTCCTGAGGTAGGATGTACTTGCCTAGCCACAATTAGGACAATCAAGTAGCACACCTGTGCCAAAATCACAATGGCTCCGCGTTTGTTGGTTCGATCGCTAAGGTACCCGAAAAAGAACACAACAGGAAGAGCTAGCAACGCTCCAACAGCAGCCAGAGCATTGGCGACAATCCGGTCAAAGCCGAGTGACCTTTCATCAGCTGTTAGCTGCCATATTCAAGAAAACGGACCGGGATCTAGTGCCATATCAAGCTTTGATCGAGTAACTACTCACATGATGATCGAAGGGGAATAAGTTGACAGAGGAGAAAAGGTCGAGAAGACAGCGAGTGTAGAAACATAGTGTGGCCACCGACGGTACTGTAGCACGGTTTTCACGACAATACCTAGTCCAATGGACTTATTTTTGGGATTTAGGCGTGCCGATGCGTCAACTCTCTGTTGCAGTATATCCTTTTCGGCGCTCGACCAGCGTACCAGACCTGGACCAAAGAGCGACTGCGGGGTATATGGGCTCTCCGGAAGAAACAATAGTAGTAGTGACGAGACAAAAACGGTCATTAAGCCCTCCACTGTGCTGTGAATCAGTATGGCGGAAAGTAGTCAATAATATCGAGTCTATACCTAAGAAGAGCCACTGCCAACCAGCCATTCCTCTAGAGCCATCGAGTTTGAGTATACCAGTAGCCAACAAGGGGCTGATTGCATTCCCGCCGAACATGCCAAAGAAGAAAATAGACACTCTTTTGGCTAGTTCGCGACGTTTATACCATAGAGACAGTATGTACATGGCTCCAGGGGTATAGCCTGACTCTGCAAGCCCAAGCATGGCCCGACTAACCAAGAATCCTGTTCGGTTGCGGACAAAAGTCTTCATTGTCGCAACAACGCCGAACATGAATACCTGGCCCGACATCCATTTGCGGGGACCAAACTGCCTTGTTAATCAGGAGAGAGGCCAGACAAGAGCACAAAATGCCACTTACACGCTGGAGGGCCATGTTGCATGGGATCTCGAAGACAACAACAGCAGCAAACATAAGCTGGTTCCCCAAATTGATTGTCGCTTGGTTGACTTTGATGTCTTCGGCAAAACCGCCAGTTAAGGCGCTTGCCAAGTTCATACGGTCGAGCTGGAAGACGAGAAATCCCAATACCAATAGAAGGAGTACGGAGAAGTCAATTCTGGTCTTACGTTAGTAAGCTGACACTGAATTTGCTGTCTAGTCTTGCACGCTTACTTCCTACGCGCCTTGGCCTCAATGATTGGATCTATCAGTTGATCTTCCGGAGATAAAGTGAATGAATATGTCCTCAATGATTCGGCGCCAGAGGGATCACAAGTCGTGTCCGCATATGCTTCTTTTTGATCACTTGACAGCTCATCGTGCCCAAGAGTTGCTGGACTGTGGCTTATCATCTCGAATAGCTCTGTGGGAGAGCAACTACCCAACAGCTTTTGGAAATGATGAATCGGTGGCGCGACTGTTGACTACTCCAAAGGCAGTCAGAAGGCTTTGAAGCACTCGTAGGATTTGGGAGCATTGAGGGATTTTTGTTCTGAGAGGTTCGGGGTGCGTTGTGCCCTGAAAAGTGATGTATCATCAGGGTTCTCATGCAGCTAGGTATTATCCCGGGGCCCTTACCGAGCGTGTGGGCAATGGCGGCCTTCCTGATAAGCAGGTTGCAGAGAGATAAGCCTAAAACGGCGAAATACAGAACATGTCTCCCGGGGACTTTCTTCCTTATCAGTCACTTCTCCAAATGACAGGGCCTCGGCCACAGTAACAAAGCCAACAACACAACACATTGATGAGGCCACGAACACACCACTATGAGTTTACATGGTCGTTACCCTTGAGCATGCACACTACGGTGCGAGGGAACAAGAACTTGAAGTAGGCGGACAGCAGAATTTCATATCTTCTGACCTCTCGGAGAGACGCGTCAATATAAAAGTGCTTTTCTGTTCTCGGAATCTGCCAATATGCCAAATATAGAGGCCTTTCATATTTGCAAGCAGTGAGACAAGGCTCTAGATAGTTTTATCAAAGTCATGAATGCAGCCATTCTTACAATATAGGGATTAGGGTCTCCTTGATCCGCCTGCTTGTCTGGTATGACGTTTAAGCGATTTCCTCTAGCGACCTATGTCGCACTGCGCCGTCATTCAAAAGGATGAATAGCAGAACTGGTTCCCGGAGGTCAATATATTGTTATTATCTACAATCAAAAGGAGCCGTCGGCCATGATCGCAAAAGACATGGTTATTAATATATAACGGCATTAAGACCTAATACCGTAAAACACCATCACCTAATTATTTTGACCTTTTATAGCGGCAGCCATAGAATCATCGGATGGAAAGGTGCGAGGACAATAGATGCTTAAAATAATTATGTACAGTGCATTCCTAACTCTTTCACACCCTGGAATTGAGGGTCTTGAAGCAGCAAAGTCCTCTCATACGCAAAGGGCTGAACAAACAATTTTTGTTTTGCCCGCCTCTTTGGTGGTCAGTCTATTCTGCCTTGGTATCTTTTTCTATTGTACTTTCTCAATAAAATCCTCGTCAAACACAATGATCAAAGAACACATAAAGAGATACAAGGCAACATCAAAACCCAATGCTGCAACGTGACTTCTTCTACACCAGAGCGCAATTTAACTCGCCTATTCGCATTGCAGAGAACATAGTCATGAACTTTATTGGACCATCGTCTGACCAGCTCATTTCTCAAAATCTCGATAGCTATTTAGATCCCGCCTTTAGTGATGGGCTCAAGGGATACTAATCTCCGAGTGACGAGCAAGTTTCTGATTATTAACACCTCAGCAGTTTGCAGCTCGCTGTTACTGTAAGTGTTGACTCTAGAGAGTACTGATCCCCTGAATTCAGGTAGATGAGAGCATAGAATAGTCAGGTTCGCCATTTCCATCCCGGTAATCCTCTGATGCCACACCCTTGGTTCCATCCCTTTAAGAAGCCGCTGTAAAAGCTTAATTCTATTGACCTTACGGCGTTTTCTAGTATTGGGCTTTAATGCTATTATGTGTTTATCCTTGTGTTCTTTCCCTGTGTTCAGATTCATTGTGAACCATAATGCGAGTTTTTCTACAGGCGATTAACTTTTCTCAGCCAGCTACGTAAGACGCATCTTTCCATTTGATTCGTTATGGCTATAGGAGTCAAAATAATTAGGTTACGGTGTTATATGGTATTAGATTTTGATACCGTCATGTATCAATGACTGTGTTTTTTGCTATCGTTGCTGATGGCTTCTGGTCATCATTGCAGATAATAATAATAATCATGGCGTTCTTTGTTATTGTACCCGACGGTTGTTTCTATAACACAACATAATGAATTTTTTCTTCTCTGCAAGAACAATAGTCCAACATTATCCCACTTGCGCTTATTCGCAATTTTTTATCATAGGCACTTGAGTGATAATCGCAAAAGCCTATCCTGTTCAAAAGGGAAGCATATTCGTCAACAAAAAAACAGAGAGACACTGCGAAAGGTCAACAACATTCCGCCCCAACAAACTCAATAGTGAATAACGCCGGCAGCTCACAAAATAAGGCTTCAATCATGCGTATAATAAAATAAGAATTTCCTATCTCATTGTAACATAAAAGGTCAGTTTCCATTTTTACCGTCTTACGCTTAACTACCCACATCATCTTCTCGTCTTTAAACAACCAATTTTAGACTATCATCTCATAAGATACATGACAATTAATGAGATACCCAAGACTGCAATCAAGGTATTAATTTCAGTTCGTCTTGAACTGTCTACCTATCAACCTAGACTTGAACGCCGTGGCTTACTGCCACATCCCAGCCAAAACCGACCGCCCCCGACGCGACGGGAAGGTACTACTAATCGAGTCTAAGGTAAAACGTAATTGAAAAACACAAATGCTTCACTTTAAGAGATCTATCTTTCCGTCTATCATCTGACCATATTCCTCCATCAACCATGAAAAACAGCAGTTATTCTTCATCCCGCATCGTCAACACTGCCACTCCGTCTGTAACACGCTTGCCTGCATGCAGTACCTTCTTAGGTTCCCTTTCCATAAGGCAACAGGCAAACAAGACAGATAAAAGGCCTTCATACCGGAGTGGTCGAGACCCAATAGCGGTATGAACAATCAGAGGAAGGAATATTCGAGACATATAGAGAAAACATAATTACGCCTTTACTTAATTACTAAGAGTAACCCAGCACTGCTCCGAGCGGGGGCTGATAAGAAAGTAGTTCACCATCTCCATAGATAACGGGGTTGTCTGTGGCGCTAGGCGAGCCCCCTTGCATTCACGAAAGAAGAAGCATGCACCATGTCGGAGTTCAATGCGAGCCAGATGGATGCCAATGCAGGTCCGGGACCCTGCACCAAAGGGGGCGTAAACTCCAGTCTTGGGTGCCTTGAACTGGCCAGAAGCGTTTAAGAACCTCTCCGGCACGAAACTACATTTTTCGTTAGCGATGCCAATCACGATAAGCTGAATGACTCACTTCTCGGGCTCCGGATACGCTTCAGGATCTCGGTGGTAGGTGTACGCTTGTGTGCTGACTATAATACCCTGGGGAATGAAATAGCCGGCCAGCTTAGCGCCTCCCTCTGGCACAACTCGAGGCAGCGCTCCAGGGGCAGCACCGTACAGGCGCAATGTCTCTTCTATGACGGCGGCCAGGTATGGCAGGGCTTCGAGATCCGAGTCGGAGAATCCAGCTGGCAGTTTTTCAAGCTCCGACTCTAATCTTGCCTGTACGGCCGGCTGCGAGAGGACGGCCCAGACAAGATAGGTTAAAGAGACAGCCGTGGTGCCAGATCCGGCGACGATAAGCCCTCCAGCTTCATAGGCCAGTTGGTAGTCGCTCAGAGCCTGGGCTTCTCTTTCCTTCTCAGCGACCATCTTGGAGAAGATATTGGTGGTCCCAATGCCATCTCGCAGCGTCTTGGTCATGACGTCCGTGGCGAGGCTCTGCACCTCTACATCGGCGTTGACAATGTCCCGCACTGATCGAATCGGTGTCCACTCAAGGAGAGATCGGACAAAAGGAAGCTCAGCGCCTACGAGGCCGAGCTTGGTTGAATCCTCTATCTTTTGCATATGCTCGGTTTTATACAGTCAGCCGGCAAGTTAACCATCCGTTTCGCTTCATTTTCTTGATTGAAATCCAGGTGGGAACGCCTTCTCGGCGGCGCATTGAAACTTACCCTTTCTTGTTCCAACATCCCTAGCGGTTCACCAAAGGCTAGGTGCGAGATGACATCGGCTGTCATGAATGTCCACCACTTGAAGATATCCACCTGGCCCTCTTGAAGCTGCTGACGCTTCATCTTTTCAATGGTCACGTCCACCTTGTCAACAATGGTGTCGAACCAATTCCTCATCAGGGCCGAGTTGCTTAACAGGGGGGCGAACAGCTTGCGCCGCTGGGCGTGCTCGCGAGGGTTGGTCATGGAGAAGAGGTCAGTAGTTGTGCCCTTGCGGAAGCACTGGTACCACGGGCTCTTGACATAGTTACCGCTAATGCGATGGATCTCCTTGAAGGCGCCTGTGTCATTGAAACTGATCTCCTCCGGTGCAATGCGGACGACGGAGCCGAACTTGAGGTGCAACTCATGAACGTAGTGAGCTCTGCGTCCGGCAATGGTTTGTTTCTTGAGCCACAGACATGTCAACGGGGCGTGCCACGGCCCAGGGATAGCCCGAAGAGGGGTCAAGTACGCTCGCCCGATTACCTAGGTATCATGTTAGCCGCCTATCTTCGGCCCCGTGACGTTAGAGTTGAGTCCCTCATCTTGACCAGCCATCCTGCGAGCAACGCGGCACCAATTATAGAGAGGATGGCCTGATACCCGGGGAGTCCCATCATTGGTGAGTTGTTGTTAATGATCACGACAGCTGGGCTAGGGTCGAGGTTTGAACCATGCAAAAAGAAAAGACGTGGAAAAATAAATACTCTTCAACCATACGCGTGTCGACGGCGGCAGACCACTCAAGCTTCGGCTCGCGTCTTGGGAATTTGAGAGCCCGCTCCTGAGGCGTCAACAAAGGGGTTTGTGCTAGTCAACATAGGGCACCGATCACACGCCGGATTTGATCGATACCCGGGCTCGGCAAATAGTGTACTACTTAGCCGTGTTCTATTGTGTATTGGTTGGTAGAATGTGGGGAAGCTTTCGGCATCCCGAGCAATCAATCCGTTGCCCAATCTGTCTTGGCCCATTGGCGACCATGGCCGGCTACAGTCCCTGCGGCCTTCACTTCCAGTGGTCCGGCAGACATGAAGCGTTCTAGCTACACAGGGTTTGTCCAGGGCAGCATTACGGGCATGCAAAGGACGTGTGGGGACGAGAAACGAGTTGTTTCTGCTCTTGTCCATTGTTATATCTATTTGGCGTCTTGCGGGCGGCAACTGGCCGCTAGGTGCCTGATATGCGAGGAAGAGGCCACATCATCAGATCCGAGACATTTCCATGAGCCCCCAATCTTGAACTCTCAGTTCTCGTAGATAATACTGTTATTGCTGCACTATGGATGAGACATGATCACGATGAGCTCTCGCCTTGTCTAAGTCAGTAAAAGGTATCTACGATCTTCTGGCTCAGTTCCCATCAAGGTCCGGGCTGCAACTACAATAGAGAACAGATTGTCAACATATGATAACATCATGACCCGGTGTTAACACAGTGGCCAAAAGGAATCTACTGTTGTTAGTAAGAGGTGTCATTCACCATGAAATTACAATCTATCTCCTCTCTTGGGCCTGTTTCCGTATCCCAAGGGCTAGCCAAGAGGATGCTCACTCTATACTCTTGTCCATAGGGGAGTTGTCTATTAAGCTAGAATTTATACTCAAATGGTTTCTCGTTATATCATTGATGGTCTTTCTCCTCAGGATGTACAGCTTCCGTACTGCGTTAAGCATAGGCCCCAAGCCGTCGAATTAATGGCTAACAAGTGGCCGCTTGTTCTCCCATTATTCCCATTCTCGATCCTTCTCTACTAGCCATAGAACTCCATTGACGGTATCATTGGTTCTTCTTTCAATGTGAGTTGTTAGTTGAGGAAAGAACTCCCAAAAGTGATGAGGCAGTCCTGGGTATAGATCGAGGCGCGTGGCCATGCCGGCTTCTTCACGCAGTATGCGCTCGTAAACCATACTGTCATCGCGCAGAACGTCAAGCCCGCACACTTGCAGGTACGTTTTGGGTATACCGTTATGGCCCGATGGGTGAATCAAGGGTGTTGGAAAATCGGCGGTTATGGCAGGCTTGTAAGCAGCTGACAGGGTTAGGGTTAGCTTGCCGTAGGTAAATGCAGAAAGGGGGACAAATACCCATGAATAGTTTGGCCAATTCTGGAGAAGGAATGGAAACCGCCTTGTTTTGTTCGGGGCTGATATGGTCTTCCTTGTACTTGTCCGGAACCAGCGGAGATGGAACCAGAGGGGCAACACTAAGAAACTGGCCCGTCACGGGAGCTGGCGAGCCCTGATCACGATTGATATAGACCACAGAATTGGCAATATTGCCTCCCGCAGATGTTCCGCCAACGATAATCCCTGCGGATGGGGAGGCCAGAGGGTGGGCCTGACTAGCATTCTTTGCGATCTAGGCGAGGAGGCGTGAGTTGAAACGTCTGCTGATCCAAGTCTTGGGAGCTTCATCGGGAATTTTCCACTATAATTGGGACACGAAGTGAGGAACACCTACCCAGTGCAAAGAATCCAGTCCATCGTGAATTGCCTGAGGGAAGGGATGCTCAGGAGCAAGCCGATACTCGAGGCTCACAACCACGACCTTGGCCCTGGCGGCGATGGTGCGATTGGACTCCAGATCGTCGTAGCGATTGCCGATGCAGAAGCCACCTCCGTGGAAGAATATCAAAATGGGAAGAGCCATTAGTCCTTCAGCTTCTGGAGCAAAGACGCGGGCGAGGATCTCAGTGCCATCGCGTACAGGAATCTTGATATCATTCTCCGTTATACCAGGGGGAGGCCCCCCAAGCGCTCTGCGGTCCTTTTCCCTGGCCTCAATAGTTATCTTGCGGAGCAGCTGTATATCAACATCGTGGGGGAGTGGCGGCGGGCCTCCGTTCTTGATGATCTACTCGGACAAGTAAGCGACATCGACATTTTTCAGTAGGTGAGAAGGCAACCAACTTGCTCAAAACCGGGGTCAGGACGAGAACTATCCAGTGTCTCCTTGCTAGGTGCCATTATGGTTATGCTGATTGGCGTGAATTCGAGTGTTTCTAGCCAGGTGGCCCAGATTTATCCAAGGAACGGAAAGCAAGACTGACCAGAGTAAGCAATAGTTCTGGTCCATATCTATTCTTGGCCCGCGGATCCAAAAGTTGCTCGGGCCCCGTCTTCGGTAGACTCGATCGGCATGCCGAAGTCTCCACCCCGAGGCCCGATGGCGCCATGTATGACGGCGGTATCCTTGCTCGGCAGTTCAGAAGGATTATGTCGGGATGTTAAAGGGATAAAACACTCAACTTGCATTCCCTCATGTGGCCAAGCTGCAGATCGATGTCACCTGTCGAATACGAGTGTCTGACTGCTGCCCAACGCCTCCAAACATGGCGGCCTCCAAGATTCCGACTGTCGGCGTGGACCTTAACGCGGGCGTGATTACTGACGCCGTCAACAAAATCAACTCTAGCAACCCAGACCCAAGGTTCAAATATGTCATGGAACGGCTGGTCGTGCACCTGCACGACTTTGCACGCGAGACAAGGCTGAGCACTGGCGAATGGATGTCCGCTCTCCGCTTTCTTGAGAACACCGGAAAGATCTGTACCTCCGTCCGGGATGAATTTGTGCTCTTATCCGACATTCTGGGACTGAGCCTGTTAGTCGACAGCATCGATCATCCCAAGCCCAAGTCCGCAACCGAGGGGACTCTCTTGGGTCCTTTCCACACACACGACTCGGAGGATGTGGCACACGGAGCGAGCATCAGCCAAGACGCCGGAGGGCAGCCTCTCCTAGTAGTTTGCACTGTGAGAGATACACAAGGGCAACCTATTAAGGGTGTTTCCATTGATGTCTGGGAGACAGACTCGACCGGCCACTACGACACCCAATACGCGAACCGAACTAGGCCTGATGGGCGAGCCACGCTAGAGACAGATGCCGAGGGTGTGTTTTGGCTCAAGGGAATTGTCCCAGTTCCGTACCCTATACCTGGCGATGGTCCTGTCGGTGATCTGTTGAAGCTCCTTGGTCGGCACAACATGAGACCAGGCCATATGCACTTCAAGTTTAAGAAAGAAGGCTTTGATCCGTTAATCACGTAAGCATCCATTGCCCTCCCGCGTATCCTCGACCCAAAAGGTTTCTGACTCAGGTTGAATAGGGCACTATATCTTCGCGGGGATCCGTATGAAACGTCTGATGCTGTCTTTGGTGTCAAGTCTTCTCTGACTGTCGACCTCGAGGCTGTCAATACTGATCTGATTTCTCGCTATGATGTTACGGCCGACTACAAAGTACTTCGTTATGACTTTGTCTTGGTGACAGAGGAGGAGACTGTGGCTCTGAGACATCAAAGTAGCGAGTCGGCAATGAAACACTTAGGAAGATCAGTCTACTTGATCAATGGGTTGCCCGCATATATTGACACGTAGGACCTAGGGAAAGGCGAGACAAAGTGCACAGTGCCGTAAACAGTGGCATTTTTCTACAGACTAGTTCGTCCATTAAGAAGGGATGAGTAGCCTGTCCCCGGGGTCACAAAAAAACACGGGACTCGGTCCCACCTATTTGCTATAGTTTTATATGGGAGCTATTCCTGTGTTTTTTGTGACCCCCTAGCCTGTTGGCGACAGGAAATGGTCCACGCATGTGCCTTGTAGATCCAGGCAAGAGTAAAGGGGCCCAGCTAGTACAGCTACGATTTCTAACTCTCGTGGGCTGCTATTAGGGCGCTCTGGAAGGTAGCTACAATTCAAGATATCCACGAAGCTTAGGCGGCAAAGAGTGATTCAGATAATGCGACTTATTAGGGGTGAACCCCGTCCCAGCCTTTAACAACATTACGAGAAAAAGGAAACTCTAGAAATTTAGGAAAACACTATTCATTGCTTTGAGACAAGCTGAGATACGTAATACATGGCTTGAGAAACACAGCTGTCATCCCCAAGGATGTTTTGTAAATAGCACGGCTAGCAGATAACAATACTCCATCTAGAATATAACATCAGGCTCACCAACGACAACAGTTATCTTTCCATCATGGGCCTTCATGAGCCGCTCTCCAAGGTCTCTCAGGAATGTGCCGGCACCGTCTTGGTCAACGAAATCATAGGTTTCAACAGCCTTGAAGTTGTGCCATGTCCCAGCAGCGAACTGGGTGTCCTTGAAAAAGTGGCCAATCTGTTTAGGCGTTATATCTTGCCAAAGAACAAACGAGCGAACTCTGTGATCCGAGGTGACGAGTTCCGTCACCTTGTTGGCTCGCTCTTGAAACCACTCCTCAGTAAACTTATCATCCTTCGCGGTTCGATGATGGAACATCAAAGCGCGAATGGCACCAGGGTTGAAACCATCCTCGCCCGCCACCTGCGAGAAATATGCCACTTTCCTAACGAGGCATCCCTTTTGATCAAGCCGACAGAAGATGTGTTTGCCAGCTGTAGCTCGGTAGTGGGGGTCCTGAAGCCCGGCATGAGTGATGAAGAGGTTCGGAAAGGTGAGGCATGTCACAAAATCCCAGCTAGGTCGCTCTGTACCTGGCACTGTGAGGGCAGAGTTCGAAAGCTGCACGTATCGGCGCACTGGCGAGCCGGCTTGTTTGCCTCCCTTGGTCATTCCGGTGTGGACCGTCTTATACTCATGTATAAACTGTTCCCGAGTCCAGTCGTCGGGTTGGGTGACGGAGATGAACCACGTCGTTTCGTGAAAGGTGTCGAATTTTGTCTCCGAGGTCGAGGTGAGCGCAAAGTCTGGCAGCCCTGTCTGTATTTTGCTGACGAATTCCCCGGGGTCCTTCAGTCGAGCAAAGAGCTCCTCCCTTTTCTTGACATCAGCCGCATCTGTTGACATGAGTCTCAGCAGATTAGACGTGGTCAACTTGTCTGTGCGTTCACGGAAGATGTTCCGTCTGACCCGAGCGTATGTGGTGAGGACACTTGGGTTGGCCCCCTCCCTGAAGATCTGTCGCAAGCTGCGGCCAAGATGGGCAGCGTCGAGCATACCGGTTGTGAGGCCTAGCCCGCCGACGGGATTATTGAGCTGGGGCGTGGTGTTAGCAGGTCGAACAAGGATCACACTCCTCGTAGATCTCAGAGAAAACACTTACATGAGCAGCATCTCCGGCTAACAGGACATTACCTTGCCGGAAGCGTGAGGCGCAACGCTGATGAGTAAGGTAGGGCGCCATTGCCTCGTACTCAATCTTGCTCGTGTCTCCGGAAGCAGGCGGCAGATTCGGTCCTTGATCCTCTTGACCTCGGCTTCTTCAAGCACGAATCTCTTATCTGTGCTTTCGGTGATCTGTCTTGGGATTGCTGTCGCCATTCGCCAGCTGTCCCCCTTGCCACGTTTGACGACGATGCTCCATTCATCAGGGTCAACAATAAAGTTACCCGCCTTCCAGCCAAAATAGTCTAGATTATAGGCGAAGTTAACGGCAACGAAAAGCCAAGAATCCCAGGTGAAGCCCTCCATCTCAATGTCGAGGCTCTTTCTCACGGTGCTTCGGCCACCGTCTGCCCCAATCAGGGACTGGCATCTGTTCTTGGTGACTTGCTGGGTAGATTCGTCCTTGATCCAGTAGTTGACGGCATCTTCGTCTTGTTCAAGGTGCTCAAAAGAGTGCCCGAAGCGGACATCGGCGAAGCCGGTCTTTTGGAGAGCAGCCAAGACGACCTCGCACATTTCAGGCTGCGATAGCATGACAGCGAAATCAGACATGTCTGGAGGCACATCAAGCTTGCAAAGGATGTTTCCATCCTTGTCTCTCCAGTCGCATCCTTTGGTATTTTTCTCTCCGGCATTGATGATATCCTCAAGAATTCCTGCCTTGAAGAATTCCTCGAGAACCGCTGGGAAGTAGCTATATTACGTGTGAGATTGACCTCGAGTGAGGAAGAGCGGTGAGGGCTTAGTGGGAGATGTACGCTACTGCTCTTGGGGACTGATCGATTCCGCTCCCTTTCTCGTACACGATGACCTTGACGCTGGCCTGAGCAAGAAGCAAAGCCGTGAATAGGCCAACGGGACCTGCACCCACGACGACAATAGGGCCTACTGATTTACCCTTTGCGTTAATGCTGTCAGCAGAGATTACTAAAGCCTCCTGATGGCAAGATAATGTATGTGCCAAGACCACATGCATACTCACCATGGTGCGCAAGGTTCTCTGTCCAAAACAAGGTAGAAGATTTGTGCGATGGCTTTGATTAGGCAGTGTGAGGCCAAGAAGGATGTTCAGTTAAGATTAGATAGGCGAGAAATACGTTGCTTCATTATGAGAGATTATTATAGTGCTTGCCTTTCGAGGATTGCTAGAAGCATGCCGGCTTACCGCATGGCCTGCTGTGGCCTCGGTTGAACCACATGATGGAATTCGGGATGCCGACAAGCTTCAGAGACAACCAGATCAAGATGTTCCCCGTGGGGAAACCACGGCTATCTCGGTAACCCTGGGGTAGTTGGTCGACTACGTACTTGTATGTGGAGTTTAGATCACACAGACGGACGGACGGGGCACATTGGTCAATGGAGAACCGACTTGGAGCCACGAGCCAGTATAGCTAGGTACGACATTCGAGACGTTGGGCTGGCCGGTAGGTGAGTTGATAGAGAAATACGGGCTTCAATGCGCATACTTTGAAGGATTCACAAAATAGTTTCACTACCTATCCAACCATGTAACTTCACGACAGCGTCGATCCTCCGGCCACTGGGATGTACAATCCATTAAGCCATGCGGCCCGCTCATCGCACAGGGTCGCCACAGTCCACGCAACCTCGGAAGGATCCGCCATCCGTGGAGCAACAGGCGTCCCATCGCTAGTCTTCTTCAGCATCTCCAGGATCTGAGGGGGGGCGGAGAGCACGTTCTCCGTGGCAACCGGCCCTGGAGCAACGGCGTTGACGGTGCACCCGTACTCCTGGGGCAGCTCCCTAGCCCAGCACCTAGTGAAGCTCTCGATCATACCCTTGGTTCCTGCGTAGACCGACATGCCGGGCTCTGGATTGCGTGAGGTTGTGCTGCAGATGTTGATGATGCGGGAGTTCTGTTTGGCCAGGTGTTTCAAGACGGCACGAGTGAGGAGCAGAGTCCCTCGGCCATTGAGGCCAGCCATGGTGTCCCAGGCATTGAGACATTCATCGAGGTCTGCATGTCGTATGTCCAAGGGTGCGCTGATGCCTGCGTTGTTGACGAGAATATCGATCGTGCCAAATCTTTCGACGGCTGACTCTACCAGCTTGGAAGGCCCAGTGGTGGAAGAGAGGTCTGCCTCGACTGTGATGGACCCGGCCGGCCCTTCCAGAGATGAAAGGACCGCCTTTGCGTTTTCCTTTTCCGAAGAGAAAGGATAGTTGATTACTACACGAGCCCCTCGATACGAGAGCTCCTGGGCAATAGCAGCGCCGATACCTGCTGAAGAACCACTCACAATGGCTACCTTGCCTTCCAGAGTTGACATTTTGTCTCTTTGCCAAAAGCCAAGATTTGAAATATGAGCGACAATAACCCTGATGCATGCTCTGGTGTCTAGAGTTGAGGGACATCTTAAGTGGGTTTTCCACTCAGCAGCCGGCTTGATGGCGAAGACAAGGCCCGTGAATGAACTCGGGTTCCCCGGAACCTCCGGCCGAGGTGTGGGGTACAGGGTGGGCTCGGCATGCCGACGCTTGCATCCGCGAATCATCGATGCTCGGCTTGCCGAGTGGGTTGACCAACTTGGAGACAAGAGCACAGATGAGCTTAGGTTGGCCATTTGGCCGCTTGTAGCTTGAGTTGAAGATGCGGATGCTTTGCCTGGCAGTGGAGGATGTCAGTTGGTCATGCTCTATTAACCCTTTCAATAATCAAGTGAACTCTGTTGTCATGCTCATAGATTAGTCAGTCTCACGTTACTTAAAGATTCATAACTCAATAGTAATTCCTCATTTCCTTCTTCCCTCGTTCGTCCTTGTCCTCGACACCCCACTCTTCTATTCCGCTTGTAAGAGATGGCTCTCCTTCAGAGCCCGCTATCCAGGGGGGCCCCCTCGATCGCGTCGATTGTCGGCGTTGCTGTCATCTGCATCATATCTTGGTTCATATGGAAACTTGTTGAGGAGAAGCGTTTCGAGAGGCGATACCGCTTGCCAAACCTCGTTCCGGGCCTGCCTCTCATTGGCAACGGACACCAAATCCCTCCCGGCGGTACGGTTTTGCACTTCCAAAAGTTGGCCAAGCAATATGGTGAGATGTAAGAACGGCAAATCGCCTGCCCTATTGCCCATTTCTATCTACGGCCGAATTGACCCTTCTCACTAGGTTCACCGTAAAGATTGGAGGCGTGTACTGGCTATTTTTGAACTCTAGACGGGTCTCAAATGAGCTTCTAGATAAGCGAGCCTCTATTTACTCGTCTCGAATGAGTCTTCCCATGGCCAACGACCTCATTTCAAACCAGAAACGGATTGTCCTGATGCCGTATGGAGACTTGTGGAGGCGGGAGCGAAAAGTAATGCATCAGATCCTGAACGGCACTCGTACACGATTGTTTGAGCCCTATCAGGACACTGAGTCTAAAGCCCTACTCTTCAACTATCTACAAAGTCCCCAAGCGTGGTTCAAAGCGCACGCAACCTTTTCGGGCTCCATCATTATGTCTGTCGTCTTTGGGCGGAGAGCAGGCCTTGAGGATCCCAACCTTCGCGAGTCACTCGCCGTTTCCGAGAAGTTTGTGCCCTATCTGGTACCAGGTGCCTCTCTGGTCGATCACTTGCCATTCCTTGCCCGGATCCCTTGGTTGAAGAGTCTCCAGCCTTGGCGATGGTACGGTGACTACCTTTATCGCCGCACCAAAACGTAGGGCGTACCAAGCAACCATGGCTCAATGTTCTTGATTGCTAATCACCATGAGACAGGGTTTACAAGAGAGAAATGGATGATTTACGCGGACGCATGAAGTCTGGATCGTACAAGCCTTGCTTCATGTCCGAGTTCCTTAATCTAGGCCACGACCAAGAGTTTGAGGACGACGACTTATATTTTATAGCCGGCGCTCTAATGGAGGCGGGGACAGACACGACTCGCGTATCGCTCGACCAAATCGTTGCTTCTGTAGTCTTGTTCCCGGACTGGGCCGAGAGAGCTCGTAAAGAGCTGGACGAGGTTTGCGGTCCCAACGCGGAACGGCTTCCAACAGCCCAAGATGCACCAAAGCTCCCCCGTATCAAAGCTGCAGTAAAGGAGAGCGTTCGCTGGAAGTAAGTACATGCTGAGACGCCTTTCCTCCGCCGGCAGGTCTCGGTAACACTGGCGTTGACACTGACGGTATCTTGACCAGGCCCATTATTGCTGAGACAGGCATCCCTCACGCACTGACGCGTGATGATGAGTTCGAAGGTTACAGAATCCCTGCCGGAACCGTCGTTAATTACAACCACTGGGCCATCTCGAATGACCCCGCACAATATGAGCAGCCCGAGCGCTTCTGGCCTGAACGCTTCATGGACGAGGACCTTGACAAGCCTTTGCAAGGGCATCTAGGGTTTGGCGCGGGTAAGTGTCCAGGGAGTCTTCTAACCCTCGTCCGCCTGCTGATTACCTGTTCTCAGGGAGAAGGGTCTGTGTTGGCTATAGCGTTGGCAACACCAACCTGTTTATCGCCATTGCACGCATCCTATACTGCTTTGATATCCAAGGGGCGGATGATACTCCAATTGATACATCCAAGCCGCTGTACGCCATTGATTCTCAGCCTCCATTTAAAGTGCACGTCAAACCAAGGACCGAAGCACATGCGGAACTTGTCAGGAGGGAGTGTAGCGACGCAGTTGTAAAATGATAACTTGAGCAATAAGGGTATCAGGAACAGCTGGAAGGAGACTAGAGCAGATTATCCCAAATACTTTGATTTCTGTCCGACATGTGTTGTTGTATCATTTGTAGGTTACCAAATGTGCTGCTCTATCCTCTGTTTGCACTATTCTGAACTAATTGTCCCAAAATGAAGATTGGGACCTTCTTTTGTTTGTTGGTAACGAAGGGTATTCCTAGATGCTCAACGACTTGCCGTCTACATCTAGCATCGTGTTTTGATAACTATGTGTTTGTTATGTCTATTATTAATGCCCGCTTCCGGGGCACCATTGATGAAAGACAAAAAAGAGGGCCGCCGCCGTCGTCACCGCTCCAGGCGCCGGCGAGAAAAGCTACTCAAGGCTTGCAATACTTGGCAGACAGGCTGCAGTATTGGAAATCGTATGCCAGTGGCTTCATGGGAGAAGGCATCCTCCATCATACCCAGTAGTGGTGACATGAAAGAGTCCTCCGAGGCATGTTCGGGGGCAATCGGGGCCAACTCCGTGGCCTGATCCATCGCCCCAATCCCGTCTCTTGATTTGGGAATGTACGCCATACCATGGTTATGACTTATCCAACGCTGACTACGGAGAGTCTCTATGCCATCCACTCGAATCTTGGGCCTGTTACCTACAGCCTCAGAATTGCGAGTGTCGACGGCGTCTGTCGATGCCATGGCAGCAACACTGCCATACGTCCAGAGGCACAAGGCGGCGTGGAATAGGGCGTAGATGTGAAAGTTGCTCCTGTCCTTTGGGCGAGTCGTTCTGCAGACACGGAAAATCTGCCCTGCGTGCCAGACAGCAACTCTCGCTAGTCGAGATTTCCGCCACTCTTTCAGCCTGTCCAAGGCCTCGCAGGCAGGAATGTTCCTCCCGCTGCCCAGCAATGCTTCCGTCAAATGGTTAGGGCTCGCGGCGTTGAAGTTGTAGAACTCAAAGATGAATGCTGTTGCAACGGACCCAGGGGTTGGTACATCCATGTCGATTTCACCACGAAGCTCGTCCATGAGCGAGGCGATATGACGTGCAATCGATGATCCAGGAAGAATGTGACATGTCAGGTCAAGTTCAGCGTCAGTCTTGAAAGCAACAATGCGGCGTCGGTCTTCCACCAGCATTGACAACAGAGAGTACGCTATCAGCAGCATGGCCAACTCGCGATCTTGCTGTGGTGGAAGAGGCCGAGCCACTAGGCCGTTGGCGAGACATCCCGTCAGAGTCGACCTCTGACTGTGGACAGGGTCTTGGAGTCCAAGATACAAGGCCGTCCACTCACCCGCCGAGCGCGCGAGCCAAAGCTGATTCTTTTCCGGAACCGGTATGGAGACCTCAGTGCACGAGACCTGTGATGGCGTGTTCCTCACCATGGCCCGCTGTGTGGATTTCATGAAGTGCTGATATGTTGTTCTGGGCTATCGTGTCAGATCTCGGAGTCATCCTCGTGGACAGTGTGACTTGGTCGGTACCTTTTTAGTGATTCTTGGTCTGCCCAACGTCTCCAGGTCTCGGCGGCACTATCCGGACTTTGATTCTGGGATGGGGCGATGCATGTGTAACTCGAACCGTCAAACCGGCGAGCGTGTCTCAACATCTATCCAGCTTGATCGTTAGCGGTCAATGACTCCAGGAACCCATCGCTCTGGATGATTACCGTGGTGGCGAACGCGGACTGTATGTCAGATATTTCCGACTTTCGCTTGTCTCCACTCCAGAGTGCGACATCTGATACGATGACCAGAGCTTGAACATAGGGGGTTGTCCGAGTGAGGGTATTCTCCTGCTCGGCCTTGCAACCTATTGTGAGTCTGAAGCCCGAGTTTTGTAAATGTCTTGAACTTACCTGGGTCGGGAGATCCCGGCGCAAAACTTCCACCAAAGCAAGCCCAAACCGGTGGGCGGTCAGGTTGGGCGATGAAGCAGCTCCGGCTGCGATACAAGCCATGAGGAGTGAAATCTCGCAGCTGGAGACAGAGAAGTGCGGAATATGAATGAAACTCATGGGCTGGTCCTTCTGTGCCGTTAGAAAGATCTTGAGTAGCTCATCAAGGATTTCGACAGAGGGGAAACAGGGTATGGGCTGTGTTGACCGGCTGGTCGCGAAGCAGTGGCTCGCAACGATAACCATCTCATCCCTCCTAGCCGACGGTATCTGGTCAGGGATCACAGTTGGATCAAAGTAGCCCATTCGACCCCGCATTGAAGTCTGTTCCTTGGGCGTTATCGAAAGTGACATTATGTCCTGAGTCAGATAATCTCTTGGTCGCGGACGCCAGTTGCCCAGCGCGTGATCATAGGCCTTGACAGCCTCACTGGAGATGGTTGCCTCATTTGACGTCAGGCTTGCTGGTGTTAGGGCGTCCGCCCTCTCTCGGTCGCCTCGTGGGCTCTGTTGAGAGTCATGGTGATCAAGACTGTGGAAAAAGGAGTCCACGGCTTGCTCGCTCGGTCCACTGTAGAAACCTGCCAAGCCAGACAATTCATGAGGGGTGAGGAATGGGAATTCGAAGATACCGTCCATGTATGGCACCTCCCCAAGTGATAGGAGAGGATCTACCGCGATGATTGACTGAGGAGAGCCATAGTTCACCATCGAGGCAGAGTTGGCCAGGGACTGGTCTTGAGTGTTATCAGTAATGAGAAGCAAGTTGGAGTTCGCATCCGGCGCTGTGCTTCCCACAAGGCGAGAATCAACGCTTGATGGCGAAACGGGAGCCAGTAAGTGGGCTCGAGAGCTAGAGGAACTGCCATGACCAGGGAGCCTTGTTTCAGGGGCACGGCTCTCGATTGATGAATGAGGTTCAGCCGTTTCGCCTTCTCGCCAATGTGCGGGCCTCACACAAGACACACCCTTCTTCCGACATCGCCGACAGGTCAGAAGATCGTCGCAGCGCACCTTGGACGCCGCACAAGACCGACATGCCTGGGAGGCCCGAGGTGGTTGGCTGGCGGGTCGCCTCACCTTCTGGCGCGCCTCATCGTCTGAGCTCCAAGGTCTGGTATACCTCTTACTACCAGACCTGAGGCTATCCGGGAGTCAGCACAGCGGTCTCTAGTTGATGGAACAAACGGTACGAGGTGGGGTAGGCGTACACTGGAGGCTTTGAGGCCACGGTCTCGGTACCGTCTTGACCGCTGAGCGGGCTCGGGCTCATAGGACGTGGGGATGGCGACATGCCAGTCATTAGCAGCCGCTCTTATCTCTCGGGCGTAACGTGACAGTGTTTGATAGAGGAGATCAAGTTTAATAACTACGTGGGAGATGCCGTGAGTGGGGAGTTGCTAGTCTCTCAGGTCCGGCTAAGAGGCATACCTCGGGTCGGGAGTCGCCATAGTACCATGCATTCCCGCTTCCCCGCATTATTGCTTCCCGTCTACTCTACTTGCGGGGTGGAAGTCCGGCAACAAGAACAGCCCAGTCACCGAAGCCGCTTAGTCACCCACTATCCAGAACTACCCTACCATGGGCGGAGAGGATCTTCAACCACAATCCAAACTGAAGATAGATATTCGTGACATTGTAACGTAACGTAACGTAAGGGGTTTGATGAACTCCGACCGGAGCCCTTGAATCGGTTTCGTTAGGGCAAGGTCCTTGCTGATGGAGCTACTCTAGCCATTTATAGCCAAATCTTGCAGCCAACCCAACAGCCAAGGAGCTTAGCATATGAGCTTTACCAAAGCAAACAAGGAAGCCATTGCAAAGGAGTTCCTCAGTTTCAGGTACCGTATGGACTCAGCTAGCCCCCTTTTCAAGGCTCTTGATGTCCAGTCGCCTCGCGGCAGTGGCTGCAATTAGGCAAATACCTTCTTCTCTACTCTAAGGTATGCTCCCTGGAAGATCATCTCCAACTACCCTAGAGACACAAAGAGTCCATTTTAGATCATCATCTTATGCAACTTTTGTACTAGCGAGACATAGATCTTATCGATAAGGGAATACCCGACTGGTCGGCATCACCCTCACACCACAAATTGGTAACTGTGTAATGAAGGCTTATATAAATGATCAGCGGTACTTTGCTCCCCACCGAACTTTAGTGATGAAGGTTGTATTTTGACTTCGGCCTATCTCTGGCTGTTCTAGTCATGACGAGAATTGCGTAAAAAAAAGAAACAGAAATGGGGAGGCGGGCGTCTCTAGCGGCTGTGTTGCCCGCATCAATCTATAGGGGAAAAATCATGGGATAGCCGACCGGGCATTGCAGAAGAGAGGCGAGCAAGGATGCCTGTCATCCCAATGTTTTGAGTCGATACTCGATCGCCAACTAGCCAAACTGGATGCCTTGTCCAGTTGCTTTGGGCTCCAGACCTGGAGCCAGGCTCGCTGAGAGATTCATTATGCAAACATAGCCAGAGAAAAAGCCGATGAGAGATTCATTGCCCATATAGCTGGAACAAAGCTTGCCAACGATTGCAAGCCGTGATCGGCTGGACGTCCAAGATCCTGCGGTAAGCCAATATGGATTCCTGTCGTTAACAAACCCCCTTCGTGGACTATGGTAGAACTTGTAGAACCACAAGTGCCCTGGGAGTGGGCTGTCTGGAAGATTCAAATTCCGACTATATCTGTGACATCTTAAGTGGCTGGATAATCATACCCATTCTGCTCTACTTTCGCGTATGCTTGTGGGTGTCAAAACGAGCCCTGTAGAATCTCTAAACCCTGTTCAGGGTCTAGTGGACCTGGCGTTTCTGATCAGAATAAGAGTGAAGTAAAAGCCTTCCACTGGTTTGCTTTCCATGGGAGTTCTTCCCCTGAAAAATCCTTTTCCTTCATTTCTGGAAATTCCAGGGTTGAGCCCCTTGCTTGTTTGGTGCGCAAATCTGCACTGAGAGGCGTGAATAGTTCATGGTGACCTTTTGCAAAAGGCATACCGTCTTCTAGCTCAGCTATCCCATCGAGGGCCAAGCTTCAGCTATAATAAAGAGCATACTAGAAGGAAACTTACAACGGGAATCTACATCTTCGAGCATCACGCAGACTTTGCGGACTTCCTAGCCATGCCAACCTATTCAGCACAGGCGGTCGGATAGTCTATGCGATGTATCTTAAATGCCTCTGGGGAGCATCTTAGACAAAGAATTCTAAGGTTCAACTTCTACAAGCTACACCATTTCACCAATAAGAATGTATTCTGCTGGGAACACTAATCCCGACACTAATAAGAGCAGGCGCGCCAATAACCTTCCGACCCCGCCTCTCGATTGCTTCTCAAGAAGGCGTACAAGTTGGAACGTGGACATCTCCGGCGTTGAGCCTCGTGGCTAGGATATTGCTAAGCAGGGATACTTCCACAAAGAGCCGCGGTCATAAATAAAGGCAGGTATTAACCCAGACCCTGAAGGGACCCTTGATAGTGAGAAATAGCCATGATAAGTGTAATCCTTTGTCCATTATCTCCTCATCACCACCAAAAACTCAAGCATCTCCTTTCTTTTTATCGTTCCCCTTCTCCTCCTGATACTCCGGACTAGGGTCCCCATACTCTGGACTTGGATCCCCTCTCACTGGTTCCGCCCTCGCCCTAAATTGCACCGCGTCGAACCCAACCTCGGCGCTGGTCGCCTCCTTGGTGTTCTGGCGTGACCGCAGCTCGAGCCTGGCCTGGTAGCTTCGAGCATTCTCTAGAATCAGCTGGCCGTCTTCGAACAGGTCCCACGGGTCGGTGAGGAACTGGATCTTTGGTTCCTTGCGGACATCCGAGATGTGCACCAGGACTGAGACGTCTTTGGATGGGGCGGCTTCGTCGGGATGGGGTTCGCTGTGGACCGAGTTCTTGCGAGCCTGTGAAACTTTTAGCCATGATGTTCGTCTTGTAGTGAGAGGGAAACTTACTCTGTCAAGCTCGTCTTGAGTAATCTTGAACCCCCCCGAGTCCGTGACCTTGACATCGAGATGGTATGTCATTCGCGTATACCCCTTCGCCTTCCCGGGCATTCCATCGAGCCGCATAAGGAAAGCGCTGAATCTACCTGTCGAGTCCGTGAAGTTGAAAGCTGCGCGGTCGCTGCCCCTCGAGCCCTTAGGTGTCCACATTTTGTCGCGATTATATTGTGAAGCTAGTACGATCGATAGGATATCGGATACCTGAGTTGCAGTCAGCAATAGCAGCAGAATGAGCGAATGGGTTACTTACAATGGCCTCTCCAACCTCAGAATCACGCTTTGCGAGTCCAAATACACGATCTAGCATCCGGGGCGGCCCGGTAGGAGTGCCAATCACCGCACCGGTCTTCTGAGTGAACTCCAGATCTCTGAACGCCCCCTTCACCGAGGGTAAGGTCATGGCGCCAGCAAATGTTCGAAGCTCTACTGGTCATCCGAGGGCACTTTGCGTGGCACGAGCAACGGCTACATCGTATGTTGGCAAAGAGCTACTTGCGTTCTCGACCTGCTTGAAGAATGATGGGCTGAATCTGGTGTGGCTGAGCAGGCGGTTGAACCTTGAGCCATCGGCGAGTCCAAGGCGACTCTTCCTGCTCGGTGCTGGATTTTGGACGGGCCGGTACTCGCCTTCTTCGCCGTAAAGCTCGCCCGACTCAAGGGAGTCTTCCTGCAACGGAGCAATGCCCCTTTCTTGGAATATGCGATCGAGCCTCTCTTCTCTGTCGTTGAGCGCCATCAGGGCGAGATCCCTATGCTCGATAGATATGTTGAAGAAATTCCTCAGCTGCTCCGCCAGCTCACAAGGATGCGCCTCCTTCTCGTACCCCGAGCGCAGATACATGCGAAGATCCCCAGCATAGTCGCACTCCAGGAAGGCTGTGCCCTCGGAGAAGGAGCTGTCAACCTGTTTCATGTTGAGAGTTGCTCGCCAGCTCTGCACTACTCTATCTGAGGTGAAGACCTGGACTTGGCCGAAACAGGAGCGTAACTCCTGCTTATTATCTACACCTTCTCCCATGAGTCTAAGGAGATGACAGATTAGCATGATCATGGCCGTCATCTGGGGGTACTCATGACATAAGAACATACCTGAAGAAATACTTGCTGCGAGACCTGTAGCTATGGGAAAGATCCTCGTCAAGATGCGTGCTCCCGTGTGCCTCAGTGGTGCTCACAGCTAGATCGCTGAGAAACCTGTTTCTCAAGCCCAACTTCACCAGCAGGTGCATGATCTTCAAAATGAACTCGGCTCCGAACGCAAGGACGGGAATGAGCGACTGGAACGGTTCCCTGAAGTAGCTTCGGTCGGCAATCAACCAATGGTCGTTGGCTGTGGCAGAGCGCAAGTGCTCGTAGGTTTCATCCGTAGCAGTGTTGGTGATGGGAAACATCTTGGTACTTAGAAGCGCCTTCTTCTGGTCTTCGCTCAGACCGTGGGCTTCGACGTGATATTCCAGAGCCAGGAACAGTCGTTGGATGCGAGGCAAAGCTAGCTGAGGCAGTGTTGAAACTGCGGCTGCTTCCTTGATCAGGTGATCAACGCCGGCGTTCCTCACATTGAGATGGTTGCGGAAGGTCTCGAGATCGGGATAAAGCCTCTCGAGGCCGACGGACTGAGTGAGCCAGGACTCTCCTCGCCAGAAGCACTCGTCTTGGGATACCCATCTTCGCTCGCCACCCTCTGTCTTGGGTGGGACTAGGATCAGCTTGTCCTTCCGAAAGGGGTTACTAGAATCAGTCAGTACGAGGAAAATCTTGACAACATTCATCAGGGTTGCGCTTACACTAGGCTAGATGAGTTGCCGCATTCTTCAAGTTCGTGCATCAAACGTCGAATCAACTCCACGCTGCCATTACCTGTGTTCTTTGCATGTCTCAAGGAGGCGAGGTAGAAGTCAAAATCGGCCTCCACCTTCACCCCTATGAGCTTCAACAACGGCTTCCACCTGGGATCCTCCGGCTCGGGAATGTCGATAAACGGCGCCACGGGCCCAAAGTCCTTCGTGAGGTGGTCAAGGGGGGCGTAGATATGCCGGATCTGTTCCTTTGTAATGCTTCCTGTGCACATGACCCGGGCGGAACCGATAGCCTCAGCTAACTTCTTACTTCCGACACAATCTTCGTAGACTTGCAACCGATCTCTGAGCATGACAAGCCATCTTTGACTCGGGTACTGCTCAATAACTAGCTTCAAGTCACCAATTCGGGGGATGACCCAGATACCGAGACTGCTGTAGAGGAACTTGATCCAGGCGCTATTTTGTGATCGTCCCGCCTCAAGATAAGCTGGTTGTAGAAACCCGTACGTCTGCTTGGTGTCCTTTGGTAGCGTGCGACTGGCGGAATACGGGTCATCATCGTCAGGCCGATACGTGTTATTTCCTTTGCGGCAACGGCCCAAGTATGTCGCCACCCACAGATGATCACTTAGACTCGTCTCCCAGCCACCATTATTGTGTATGAACTCAGCGTGCGATACAAGCACCGCCGGGGTGAGTTTGTTAGGGTTGAATTTTCTGCCGTCGTGTGTGTTGACTATTGCCTTCTTGATGCGGTCATTCGTGAGCACTGGGACATCAAGCAGTTGGTAAAGCTTCCGCCGGTCAGGATCAGCAGCGGCTTTGTCGTTCACCATCAGTACCGTGATACCTTCAGGTATGACTAACCCAGAACTGCTTGGGAGGTAAACCTGTTGACCGTACGACTGCGGGGGAACCCACTCTCCCCCTCTCAGCGGGAGAATTGGAAGATTAGATATCGGCGAGATGAAATACCATGCCGAGGATGTATACATCTGGCATATGATACGTGCAAGACTGGAATGCCACGCGTGGGATTTCCTCTCCAGGAACCACTGTGGGTGCCTTTTGAGGCGTCTGATCAGCTGATCACCAAAGACTTCGTCACTCATGACGCTGACACCCGACTTGAGTAGATATTTCTTATTTCCGGGGTCGTGGTACTTTGCGGCAAGAAATTCGTCTTCGTTGTCCGTGTCCATCATCAACGGGCGGCCATCGTCATCTCTCCAGTCCTCGGAGACCATGATGAGATCACGCGGCCTTCTCTTGTAACCAACCATGGACTCCAGCGTGAATGTGGTTTCCAAATTAACTGAAATACCCCATCTTAATTCCTCAAAGAATTCGCTTTGCGAGGGGGTGATGGGCGCGTAGCGAACCCAGCTGTGTCGTAGAGAGTTGTCCAGATTATCTATGTGACACATGGCTTCCATGAAGGCTTTCCGAGCCTCGGTTCTTAAATGTATATTCCAGTTTGAATCAACGTGCACGTCCTCTCGATTTGCCGGGAGAAGGAAGTCTGCTTGCAGAAGAAACTATGGCAAAGTCAGCTACGAGCAGATGAAAGATTGAGGAAGGGAGGCCGTACAGAGAATCCGTAGTTTCGGATAGGCAGAAAAGAATAGACGTTTTGAGGCTCGATGACGGGGAGTACAGGTGCATCTTTATTGACGCCAGTGTTGGGAAATGCGAGAACAATCTCGGACGTGGTGATCCCTGGACGACGAGCCTCAGAAGGGAGGTTTTTGGCTGTGTGTCGCCAAACAAAGTAGTGTTTCTCTACTCCATTGTTCATGAGCGTCATCATGGATGGGTTCTCAGCCGGCTGAGCACCACGAGTGAAAGTTCTTTTGAAGAGTCTGTTCTCGGCCCCTGGATGGATGTTAATCTCGAGCTTCCGAAGTCTCCGCAGAAAGAGCAAAATCTTCTCGTCACACGATTTCATCTCCTCGACAATGAGTCCCTCGTCACAGTCCTTGTCCAGCTTGAGCAGAATCGAAGTACATTCCTGCTTGGGCTGTTCGGGGAAGGGGCACGTAATAGGCGCAATCATTCCAAGGTGGCCATCGCGATCAAAGCGGAACGAGTAGTAGCCAGACGAGATCCAGACGGTGGACGCGACCTTGAATACGGCCTTGAAACCAATTCCCTTTTCGCCGATGAACCCCTCTGACTTGCTTTCGCCGCCCTTGGTGCTCTTGCCGATGCGGCAGATGGCCTCAATGTTCTGCTTAGAGAATCCGCGCTCGTTGCAGTCGATTCTGAGTTTTCCGGGTGAATATGAGATGGACATGGTCGGTGTTTCAACCGTGTACGAGTTATCGTCGGCGTTTTGGATCAGCTCCAAGAGGAAGTGTGTCGACGTTTGATAGAGGTCATGGGAGATGCTGTTCTGCGGTCAGGGAGTCGCTCTAAACATCAGCATAGCCCAATCTGCACTTACATTTTCAAGGCTGATTCGAGATCAGCTCCGTTGTTGCCAATCTGGTCAGGGCCATCGCCGAGACCCTTCTCGCGACGGATTTGACGGATATGATCTTGTGCCTCTGACACGGACCTAGGGAAATCGGCCTCCATGATGATAGGATACGTTGCAGAGTAAAGTATCACAGGGGTAGATTGTTGATGTCGTGTTGGATGATGATGATGAGGAGGAGGAGGAGATATTGATGAGTTGAGGATAATGGTGGTGAAAAGATGCTGGAGAGTTAAGTGTGATAGGGATGGATTGTTAACATGGTGTTGATTGATAATGATGAAAATGGCTGTGGATGTTTGTATTAGGAATGCTGGCAAATCGAGGGCAATAGATATATAAACCTGGTATGTACAGTGATTCACTAGTTGTTCTAGTCGAAGAGCGCACGGCTGGGCTTTTCACACTGCTTCAAATCCGTGCGTCTAGCCAACTCAAAGCAGAGAATGACAGCTGCTTTGTTCGTCGCACACTTGGTGGCTTGGTCAAAGGTCGGCGGCTCTGGATATGGGGCAGCTCCTTTGTGTGGCAAGGTGATGAGTCGATAAAGAAAGCTTTCAGGGTAAAATTAAAAACAAAGTAAGAAGCCAAAGGGAAAATTCAAGGGGAGATTGCAGAGGAACGTGAAAGCTTATAAGATGCGAGAGTGTCGGCGTAAAATAGCTATATTAAAAAGTAATTTAACCTCATAGTATACCTAGAGGGTAAATTAAGGTAACCTAATTAAATAAATATAATTTTATATAATTAAATTATTATACCTAATGCCTTTTAATATAAGAGTTAATATTAAATAAGCTCTATAGATACTTTTATACTTAATATTTTACCTTAATAAACCTTCTCTTATTAAGAATAATAAAAATAGCTAATTTACTCTTTATTTTAATAATAATAAGTTACTATTATTAATAATATAATATAAGATAGCGACTCTTATATAAATTACTAGGTATATTCTTCTATTAAATAACCTTATACCCGCAGTAAATTAATATAAGACTATAATAATATATCCTCCCGATAAGCTAACCTTATTAGAGTAAAAACTTAAGGCTACCTTATATTACCTTAAGGAGATTAGCCTTATAAGGCTATTAGAGCTAAAGAAGCTCCTTATAGTCTTATAGCTTTTATTAGACCTCTAGAGAGTTAACTTAATCTATTTTAATTATTACTTATTGAGTTGGGGGAGAGGCGTGCTAGGCCGTTTTGGGCTATTAGGCAATTTCCTATACGTAGAAAAGGGCCAAGGCTGCGGCCCTGACTATTATTATTATTATCTTCTTTAAGGATCGGATTAAGAATGGAGAGCTTAAGGGCTCTTTTCTTAAGAAGATCTTTATTACTATTAATTAATTATTTGCCCTTATTATTTTATATAGTATTTAATTTACGAGAAAATATATAAAATCTCTTTTTTAAAAGTTATTAGAAGAAAGTTATATAAGAAGTTTTAGCTATAATTAGTATATTCTATTTCTCTAATAAATCTAATGCCCCTATATAGGATCTTTTAATACTCTTACTTCTATAATTATTAGGATATATTACTCGAAGGTAATCTAATTAATTAGATAAGAGAGTATACTTTTATGTTATTAATTAATAAACTATAAATATAATTATTACTATTAGGCTAAAAGAGAGAAGAGCATTAAGAACTATTATAAATAAAAAAGTAGGAATTAAAAAGACCCTAAGAAATTATTTAGCTTAGAAGGGAGACTAATTACGAATATATCTTGCCCTCCCTTAACCCTAGATTATAAGATATTATTTAATTAAATTCCCCTAAAGAATTAAGGCTAAAATAGACCCTTAGAATACCCTATAAAAGGCAAATATAAGGAGATAGAGGTATCTGCCTATTATGGACGAGGAGAGAAATAATAATAATAGCGTATAATTAAAACGGAAAACTATATTTCTTAATAAGACTAGTGGTTTAGCCTTACTTAAGATACCTAGAGGACTCTTAACTAAGCGGTAATAGAAGGTCTTAGTTATTAGAATTCTTATTTAGATAGTTATAAGGAGCGAAATTCTTATTGCCTTTATCCTTATCCTTATAATATTTAAGGAAACCTTAATCGCTAGCCTAATCTATATTATTGCGACTAAGGACCCTAAGGTAAGAAACTAGCTTTATAAAGAATTAACTAATTAAATACCTATTACTATGACCGCTATTACCTTAACTATAAAGATAGCCTAGAATAATAAAAGCGCTAACCTTAGAAAAAGGTCTAGTAATATCTAAGGCTAGAACCTAGAGATAGGAGGTAATAAGGCTACTAAAGGTAATAATAAGGTTAATAAATTCCTTTTTAAGATCTTAATTAAGGGATTAAATAATCCCTCTTTTATTATCCCTCTTAACCCTTTCCCCCTCTTTAAGGGAAAAGATATAATTAAGTACCTCTAAAATTTTAATTAGCTAGTAAAACTTATAAATATCTTTAAGGATAAAAAAATAATTCTCTTTAAGTTATATATTAATCTAGAGATTAAGAGGGAGGCCTAATAAGCTATAGATAGACTTAACTAAGAAGCTACCTAAGAGAGCCTAAAAAAAGCCTTTATAAATAAAGATTTTAATTAATTAGAGATTATTAAGGAGAAATTAGAAATATTTAATAAAATTTATCTAAAGGTAGATTTCTATGCTATTATTAAATAGCTAAATAAGTATTAATATCTCTTTAGGTAGATTAATAATAACTAAAAGATATCTAAGAGTTAATTTAAAGTAATTTATAAAATACTCCCTAAGAAGATTATTAAGGGTATTTATAAAAGATATAATAAGAATATCTATAAGCTTATAGCTATAAAATATTATATATTTACCTAAATAATTAAATAATATTATAAAAATAAGATTAAGATTTAGAAGATTTATTGCCCCCGGAGCGAAGAGAATACCTATTAGGTTACTTAGGCCTTAACTTCTCCTAAGAGCTTAAGCCTTTCTATAAAGATAATTAAGACCCTAAAGATCTTTAAAAAGGAATCTAATAAAGTAATAACCTTAAAGATTAACTAATTAATTATATAGCTTAGCTAACTTATAATTAATATAGTAAAGGGGTAAGAATCTTAATTATAATTAACTTAGATCCTCGAGAGAGAATATAATAAGTAAGTAGCCTTAAGAGCGCCCTAGGCTTTTAGGATAAATATAATATTACTTAATTAAATATATAATAGCTAGAACTTCTATATAATTATAGTATATAGATCTAGGCGAGGTAGCTATTAGAATAATATAATATATTAGTATTATAGCGGGAGAAATTATTTCCTAAGTAATTATATAGACCTTATTTATAATAAGAATAATAGGATTATAAGTTATAACCTATAAGGTAATATAGCTCTCTTAGGAAGGTCTAATAAGATATTACCGCTAAACTTAGTCTATGCCTTTAGGAGGTTTAGGATCTATAAGCTAGTTTATAATTAGCTAAGCTACTTCTTAAAATTAGATATATTTCCCTTAGTTAAGAGGATAGAATAATATAACCGCGCGGGAATTAACTTCTAATTAACTTAATAAGAGAATATTATAATTAATAATTAAATTAGGAAAAACCCTAAGGCTATAAACCTCTATTAACCAGCATATAAGTCCCTAATAGGATTTAATTAATTACTTATAGATATTATAAAGGGAAACTAGGATATCTTAGATAGCTAGAACTTACTAATAAGAGCCTTTATTAATATTATTTTAGTTAATAAGGATATTATGCCTTTTAATCGCGCTAGAGAGCTCTAAATAATTATTATAATTATTATAGCTATTAATGCTAATATAAGGAAGAGAGTCTATATTAAGGATATCACTAAAGCCTAAAAAGCGGCATAGCCTATCTAGAGGTCTATATTAATAGAGAAAATACCTATAACTAATAAGGAAAAGAATAAGAGATTTTAAATACTTAAAGAGAAATAGGCCTCTATCCTATAAGAGCTAAGAGATAAATATTAAACTAAGAAGATTTTAGTTATAGCTAATAAGCTTTTTATATTATTATTATAACTTAAAAGAAAGATAATAAAAGATTATTAAGATATTATTAATAATATTAAATAAATTACTTATATTAAATCTACCTTATATATTACTAGAGAGATATAAGGATTATTTAATTAGAAGCCTTAAGGCATAAATATAATCTAGATTAGCGAATAAGACTAGGGGGAGTTATATTAAGTAGAGATTAGCGAGAGAGCTAGAATAAATATAATCCTTATTAATAATAAGCCTTAAATTAAGTAAACTAATAAAGTTATAAAGGATTTTTAACTTAGCGATTATATTATTATTATTAATATAGGTATAAGGGATAAAGAAACTAGGATTATAGAAGTATATTAGGATAAGGCAGAGGCCATAGGAGGGAGCGAGATTATTACTAAGTATAACGAATTAATTAATTAGATAATTAATATTATTAAATTATCGCTAGAAGGTTAAGGTAAGGCGATTATATAGTCATAAGAGCTACCCTAAATTCTAGTCTAACTTAATAATGCGGAGGGCAAGGTTATTAAGGCTATAATAGATATTAGTTCTAAAGGGAATATTATCTCGGAAGAGCTCGCGAGGGCTTATAGCCTTAAGGTTATAACTATAAGGGCTTCTATAACCTCTTTTTCCTAAGATAAGGTTACTATACTTAGCTAAGTAACTATCTAGCTATACCTTAGAAATATATAAATCTAGCAAAGGATATATATAGCGCCCTCTAAGGGGATTTTAATTCCCTTTATTCTTAATATATTATTTATCTACTTAATAAGGGTATTATTTAATTATTTAATTAGGGATAATTCTATATTTCTTTATTATTAACTAGGTAATATATAAGTAATTACCTTTATTATTAGCTCTATTAAATAAGAAATACTAAATTATAATATAGATAATAATATATTATTAAAATAAATATTAATTTTTTATCTAAACCTAAGGTTAATTAGAAAAGTAATTTAGGATTTAATAATATCCTAATATTATTGCGATAATTAAGTTAGGAATTAAAGGAGGAGATAATTAGTATTATTAAAATAGAGATAATTAGGCAATACT